TAAATGAAAGAAGTCAGGCACAAAAGATCAAATGTAAGATTCCATTTATACAAAGTATCTAGCCTAGTTGAATCCATCAAAATAGAGAACAGATTGGTGTTGCCAAAGGCTTGGGGAGGAGGGGAAATGAGGAATGACTACATAAGGATGTGGGGTTTCCTTTGGGGGAAATAAAAGTGTTTTGGAACCTGATATTTTTGTGCTGCTCAGAACAAGATACTGTTGGTAATGATGCTGACAGCCATTCCTTACATTTCTCTTCCTCTTAGAAACATGACCATGGTAAAGAGTTGGACCTTTTCAACTTCTATACTTGAAAACTAAGTTGATAGTGATGATGTATTTTCATTCAAGCAATGCCACAAACTCAAGCTTTGCACATTGCTTGAACCTATGTTCTGAGTATTTTATTTTTTCTTTTCTTTTTAAAAAAATATATTTTATTGATTTTTCACAGAGAGGAAGGGAGAGGGATAGATAGCTGGAAACATCGATGAGAGAGAAACATCAACCAGGTGCCTCCTGCACACCCCCTACTGTGGATGTGCCCGCAACCAATGTACATGCCCTTGACCAGAATCGAACCTGGGACCTTTCAGTCTGCAGACCTATGCTCTATCTACTGAGCCAAACCAGTTTTGGCTGTTCTGAGTATTTTCAAGAGACAAATGTATTTAAAGATGATTTCTCCACTCATATTTTAAATTTCTAATACCTTTATACCTTTATTATTATTTAAATTATCTAGCCAACAAAAATCTCTCCTAATAGTCTGCCCACTGATTTTTCTATTAAGTCATTTGAAATTTCTTAGTTATTATTCTTGAAAGTAAGTGTCCAGCCAATTATTTTTTTACTAGAGGCCTGGCTCATGAAAATTCATTCACTGGAGGGGGATCCTTCAGCCCGGCCTGCTCCCTTCATAGTCCGGGAGCCCTCAGGGGCAGGAGGCGATCAGGGGAAGGTGACACTTCTATCACCTCTGCTGCTGCCACTACCAACAGTGCAAATCTCAGGTGGCCCTGTGTGGTTGGGCAGCTGCCATCGGCGGCTTGCCTGTGCCTCGGGCTGGCCCTGGGCGGCTAGGCAGCCACCATCCGAGTTTTGCCTGCACCTTAGGCTGGACCTGGGTGGCTGGAAGACTGAGAGGACTGGGGGACTCTGAAGGCAGGCATGAGGAGCAGCCAGAACCACACGCCTGCCGCCCTGGTGGGGCTGAAGGGACTGGGCCTCACTATCTTGTGGCTGTGGGCACCACCATCTTTGAGGGCATTGCAGTCAATTAGCATATTCCCTCCTTATTGGCTCTGGGCACTGCCATCCTTTGTGAGGGTGTGACAGTCAATTCACATATTCCCTATTAGATAAGATTTTAGCAATAATAAATCTAAATGTATATTTATACTACTGATAGAATTTCAACATATAAAGGATTTAAGGAGGGTTTTTTCCCCCCCTTCAGCTACAAGTAGAATGTTCACCTACATTCAAAAGTTAATATCCACATACTAACAACAAATCCCAATGACAGGCCTAATTCATATTACTGACATTGATAATCTGATTAGAAACAATGATTTCCTATGTGATTCCACAGTCACTGATCACATTCAAGTTCAAAGGGGTCAGAACTGATGTTGAAGTAGGACTTCTGAAGGCTGAGACCAAAAGCAAAGCCAAATGACAGATTTGGGCCAAACAAATCTGGATTAGGTTGATGATGCCCCGAAACTAGTTAAAAGTCCTACAGCAGAGAGAGGGAAGAGATGAGCATTCTGGGTAATTCTCAGGACAGGAAAGAGGCACCCTTTACTCTCAAATGACCCAAAGAAAAACTACCATTTGTCATCCACTTCCCATGGAATTTCTTGCTGACAGAGAAATGGGGCGGGGGGGGGGGGGGGGGGAGAAGGAAAAAAAAAAACAAAAAACAAAAAAACGGGAAGCAACTGAAGAAAGTGACAGGATGCTACCCTCCATAAACACTTCCTGTTGATTGTGCTTACAACTGCAAGCCACCCATCTCATGTCTATCTGCAGAGATTGAGTCACACATGCCTAACTCTCGAGAGTTGAGAAACTACTCCAATGCACAGTGTTTGACAATTTTTCAGGGGCTACACTTAAGGACAGAAAAGAATTGGAAAAAATCCCAAGACAGTGCTTTGTGATTTGCTTGCATGAACTTAGAAGTTCTTTGAATCTGCAACCAAACAATGGAAATTTAAAATACTATCATCGAATACAAACACTGAGAGGTAAGGATTTCTTGGAGCTGGACGAGGCCTTCGGTGAGCCAGGCATTCAGGTTCGTGGTCTCTTAGTGGGCTAGGTCTGTTGGTAGTGAGTAGATCTGGTTCCGAAAGGGTGGAGCCATTATGGGGTAGAGCCTGACACAGAAATATTAGCCTGCTCCCTTTTGCTGGTTAGCATGGGGCATCACACTCTATCCTCCATCCTGGCCCTGTGGCCTCCATCCCCTGTCCATGCTCTGAGCTGCGCCTGGACTTGGTTCTAGCTTCTGGACAATCCTTCCGGTGGAAGGAGCAAAACCCTGCACACTGGAGTAGCGTGCTGGCAGACCAGGTATGGACATTGCCCAGACCAAGGAGCAGCTCTCCTGCATTGTGTACCGAGGAGAAAAGGGCCAGACTGGCAAGCCCACACCAGAAGCTAAAGGCCCTGAGCCAGTACTTCCAGCTGGATGTCAGCCTGGCTCGAGTATCTCGCCATTGGAGTTCCAAGGACCCCCACTTCCAAAAAGTAGCTCAGAAATTTCAAGGTATTCAACTCCTACAACAGGATCCCATCGAGTGCCTTTTCTCCTTCATCTGTTCCACCATCAACAACATTGCTCGCATCACTGGCATGGTGGAGTGGCTCTGCCAAGCCTTCAGACCTCGACTCATCCAGCTTGATGATGTCCAGAGGTGGAGACTAAGCTCAGGAAGCTGGGCCTTGGGTACTGTGCCCGCTATGTGAATGCTAGTGCCAGAGCCATCCTTGAAGAACAGGGTGGTTGCCCTGGCTGCAGCAGCTGTAGTAGTGTGCAAAGCAGCAGGCGGCTAGCGAGGAGCCTGAGCCCAGGCCAGGCACCACTCTGGCTCATCCTGCCCCTCTGCACCTGCTGCCATAGTGCACTTGGTAGTATTGCTGTGGAGGTGGGAGAGGCTTGTGCTGCCACAGCTGTGCTTGCCAGCTGTGAACCCATCAGTCAACAGCGGCACTCCCACTATGAGAGTATTGAGGCAGCTCCTGTGTTGAGCGTCTGCTCCCTGGTGGTCAGTACACATCATAGCAACCGGTTGACTGGTCATTGAGTTGTTCAGTTAGTTGCTTAGGCTTTTATATATATAGATGATGTCATACTGGACATTCACAACAACACCTATCCCCATTCTTTAGATAAAAAGTCAGGCTCCCAGAAAGCAAATAGCTTATCTAAGGATGCACAACTGGGAAATAATATTATATATCCACACACATCCTGGCATACAGTGTCCACTCCTGAATAGTGTTGGTTTTCAGTAACATCAGACACACAATCTCTAAAGGTCAAACTCAAAACTCCTTCATCATCTCTTGTATTCCTGGCTTTTCCCCCCTACCCATCTTCTATTCTCTGTTGCCTATCAAAGGATCTGGCCTTTGAGGTCTTTTTACATCCTAGAGATCAAATGGCAAATGTGCTGGGATTTCAAGACACAATTACAAAAATAGGTCTAGTTCATCTGCAAGAATATCATACACCCCACTTTCTCCACTTCTATAACCTGTAATTCATTCCACCCCACTGAGTGGGAGAAAATATTTGAAGATCATATGTCATATAAAAAATTGTATCTAAACTTATAAGGAATCTTTACAACTTAGAGATAACCTAATTAAAAATGTGCAAAGGCGCTGAACAGAAATTTCTATAAAGATATATAGAATGGCCAATATGTATATGAAAAGCCCAATATCATTAATCATCATGAACATGCAAACCAAACACATATATAAATTTACATATATGCATATTTAATTGAGTACAGGTAGCTTATATTCCATGTTAATTTCTTTTGGGGCTACTAAAGGGATATTAGAAAATATTTCCTTTAAAAGGGACATTGGTCTGACGGGTTTGAGACCCACTGATGCAGCAGATAGCACAGAAGATATCTGTGATCAGAATATGGCTTTTTAGATAAGAGTCAGGTTTATTTGTTTTTTTTTTTCCTGTTCTATAACAGCTTCAGCCTGAAGGATTCCATGGGGAAAGCAACAACAAAATTAGAAAATAATTTATCATTATTCAATTTTGCTACCAACTCGTTCTTCATTTAGAAGATGAGCTGTTTCTGGAGGTATATACATTTGGACTACATGTACTAGTATCTGTTAGTTATACAATGACGTATTTCACAAGATCTATCTGTGCCAGACAAGTGAATCTTACACTCTCAATGCCTGAACATTTGATGTAAACAATTTTTTCATTGAAGATAACTCCGAACAAAGGATATTGCTTCATCTGACTGGCCTTTTGTGGCTCAAGGCCATTATGACAAACATCATTCTTACCATGCTCTAACCAAAAGACACCCTAAGGCACACCGATGTTGGCCACTACTGGCCTCACAACTAAATGGTCCCAGACTGACGAGCTTTTCGGAGTTCTCAGCTCTGCTTTTTATAGGAACGCATTTCTCTTTATGGGCTATTATTTCTGATCTTAATACTGGTGTCCTTAGGCAGTGCCTCCTACCTCTTTCTAATTCGCTTCTTTAATACAAACAGTTAACACCCACATTACTGGTGACAGTCTATCTTCATCTCTTGGAACCTACCAAAGTATTTTCAACGCCAACTTTCAGAAGCATACCAGCTCAAGGGGGAAAAAGGAGTACATTTATTACAAGGTCATGAGGGTATCTTAAGGGCAAAGGTAAACCAAGGGGGCAGAACCAGGAAGTAGAAACTCAGCAAAAACCAAAGAGGCATTTTCTTACTCTCACCTCTGTGTTCCTTGGCCCATCTGTGTCATTCTTTGATCCTGCAGGCTCCCCTCCTTGGCTTCTCTCCCAAGATGACTCTGCCATGGCCTTGGCCAGGTAGCTCAGTTGGTCGGAGCATCATCCTGATATACCAAGATTCTGGGTTTAACCCCTGGTCAGGGCACCTGCAAGAAACAACCAATGAATGCATAAATAAGTGAAATAGCAAATTGATGTGTCTCTCTCTCTTCCTCTCTCTTTAAAATCAACATATTTTTTAAAAATAGATGACTCTGCCGCTACTCCTGAGGTTACTCAATTCAATTTTAGTCACTTGCAAAGAACAAAGCGCTGCCTCTCTCCCAGTGCAACCCTTCCAAAGGAGACCATCAGATTGACCCTGTTTGGGTCAGGTTACTCCTGTGGTTCAATTAATAAAGTCACAACATAAAAACAGGTGCTGGGGCCATCTCTGTGAGGAAGGGCAGTTTTTAGAGAACACTGTCATGAGTGAACTGGTTTCACATGCAACCAAGGACACCAGATAAGCCAGACTTAGGACTTAAACTAAGATAAAAATACGCTCTGGGTGAGGGCCTGAGGTTTTCCCCTATGAAGAAAGAACATGAGGTTTGACCCATTATTATTTACTCCCCCCCCCCGATAACCTGGTTGTCCACTGTTTCTTTTTAAAATTTGATATATAACTCACATACCATAAAACCTGACCTTTTAAAGTATACAATTCAGTGGCTTTTAGTATATTCACAAGTTCTGCATCTAAATTTTCCTGAACATTTTCATCATCCCAAATGGATACCTCATACTCATTAGCAATCAGTCCCAATACCTCCTTTCCTGGAAACCACTAATCTGCTTTCTGTCTCTGTGATTTACCTATTTTGGATGTTTCAAATAAACATCCAGAATTTATACAATATTAAAGGCCCGATGAATGAGTTCATGCTCCAGTGGGGTCCCTCGGCTTGGCCTGCGGATCAGGCCAAAACCAGCTCTCCTACATCCCCTAAAGGGTCCCAGATTGCAAAAGGGTGAAGGCCAGGCCGAGGGACCCCATTGGTTCACAATCTGGGCCAGGGAGGGATGCAGGAAATTGGCCAGTTGGGGAAGGACTGCTGGAGGGGTCTAGGGCATGTGCAGCCCATCTTGCTCAGTCCTGATTGGTGGGACCCCAGCAGCAAGCTAACCTACCACTTGGAGCACCTGCCCCCTGGTGGTCAGTGCATGACATAGCAAACAGTTGAGCAGCCTTAGAATATTATTGGTATATTAAACTTTGATTGGTTGAACGGATGATTAGACAACTGGATACTTAGCATATTAGGCTTTTATTATATAGGACGTGATCTTTTAGCCCGGCTGGCGTGGTTCAGTGGTTGAGTGTCCACCTATGGGCCAGATCATGTTTGATTCCCAGTCAGGGCATGTACCTGGGTTGTGGGCTTGATATCCAGTGCAGAGCATGCAGGAGGCAGACAATTAATTATTCTCTATCATCACTGATGTTTCTATCTCTCTCTCCTTCTTCATTCCTCTCTGAAATCAATAAAAATAAAAATAAAAAAGTGACCTTTTGTGTCTGGCTTCTTTCACTCAGCATAATGTTTTCAACGTTCATATGTTGTAGCCTGTATCAACATGATACATATATTTTTATATACCATATATTTTTATGACTAAATATTCCATTGTATGGCTGTACCACATTTTACTTATCCATTCATCAGTTGACAGGAATTTAGGTTACTTCCACTTGTTAGCTATTAGAAATAATGCTTCCATGAACATTCATGTACAAGTTTTTGCATGAACATATCTTTTCAATTCTCTTGGAGACACTATATACACACACACACATATATAAAAGATATATATGACATATATACAGGTATATGACATATATACATATATGAAATATATACATATATATGATATGTATTATATGTTATATATATATAAAATAGAGGCCTGGTGCATGAATTTTGTGCACCCAGTGGGGGGGGGTCTCCCCGAATGCCTGTATCCTCTACAATCTGGGACCCCTCAGGGGATGTTCAATTGCCCTCTCCTGCAGGCCTGGTCCGTCCCCCACCGCCCCCCCGCAACTGCCCTCCCCTGCACGCCTGGTTGCCCCTAACTGCCCTCCCCTGCTGGCCTTGTCACCTCTAACTCCCCTCTCCTGCACACCTGCCTGGTCACTCCCCTGACTGCCCTCTTCTACAGGCCTGGTTGCCTCCAACTGTCCTCCCCTGCTAGCCCAGTCACCCCTAAACGCCCTCTCCTGCTGGCCATCTTGTGGCAGCCATCTTTGACTACTTGGGGGCGGCCATCTTGTGTGAGGGCATGAGGGCAATTTGCATATATATATGGTGTGTGTGTGTGGTGTGTGTGTGTGTAAAATTGCTAGGTCTTATGGTAATTCTGTTTAACACTTTGAAAAATTGTCAAACTATTTTCCAAAGTGCCTGCACCATTTTACTTTCCCACCAGCAATGTAAGGCTTCCAATTTCTCTACAACCTTGCCATGTTTTTAAAAATATGTATTTTTATTGATTTCACAGAGGAAGGGAGAGATAGAAACATCAATGATGAAAGAATTATTGATGGGCTGCCTCCTGCAAGTCCTACACTGGGGATTAAGCCTGCAACTTGGGTATGTGCCCTGACTAGGAATCCAACTGTAACCTCTTGGTTGATAGGTCAAGGCTCAACCACTGAGCCATGCCTGCCACCTGGGTGAACCTTGCCATCTTTTTAATTGCGTGTTTTGATTTATAGCTAAGCCAGTGGGCTGAAGTATGTCAATGTCCTTTTGATTTGCATTTCCCTAGTGACTAGAGATATTGAATATGTCACATATCCTTATTAAGCATTTGTGTACCTTCTCTGAGGAAGTGTCTACTCAAATCATTTGACCATTTTTCTCACCTGGCTCAGGCTGCTTCCTCCCCCCTGTCCTGCAACTAAGGAAGCATCTGAACTGGTTTAGGATGTGGCCTGGCTTCAGTTCCAGGAGGGACACTTTACAGGGTGCAGGGCTCCAGGTAAGGGCTCCTGGGGCACTTGGCCCGGCGTTTGGGTCACCCCCGCCCTGCCCCCAGAGTTTGGGAAGGCAGCACTGCCCCCAACCCTCCATTACGGCCTTTGGTTTGAGGGGGCAATGAGGGCTGCTCTCCCCGCCGCCTAGACCCCCCTCAGGGGGTTGCTCATTACCCCTCCTCACTCTCCTCGAAGACTCCATCCGCCTAAGAAGGCCACTGCTTCCCCTCAGCCCTCCTGAGGGGTCACTCAAACCCCCTCCCTCCGTCCCCCTGAGGGGGCGGGTCGCTCGTCCTCAAGGGTCCTCTCGTGAGGGGGTCTGTCTGCCACGCCCCCCGACTCCCCAGCCTCCAGAGGCGGCTCCCGCACCCGAGGGGAGGTCCCACCTACCGCCTGGCCGGTCCCCCAAGGGCCCGCACCGCCTCCTTCAGAGCCCTCCCCCACGTGACGTCGTCGCCGGACAGGACGCTGGGGCGAAGCTCCCGGGAAGGCTCCAGGTGGGGGAGGGGGCGGGGCTCCAGGTGGGAAGGGGGCGGGGCTAAAGGCGGAAGAGGGCGTGTCTCCTGATAGGAGGGGCGTGGTTCCTGGCGGGGGGCGGGGCTCCGGGCCCAGAGGCCTGCGTGCGCTCCGCGGGGGGGCTCATTGCGCAGCCCTGCGGCGAGTCGGGCGACCATGGCGGGCTGCTGCTCCTGGCTGAGGGGCTTCCTGTTCGAGTACGACACGCCGCGCATCGTGCTCATCCGCAGCCGTAAAGTGGGGCTCATGAACCGGGCAGTGCAGCTGTTCATCCTGGCCTACGTCATCGGGTGAGCGCGGCCGGGGCGGCGACCCCCTGGGGTTCTGGGACCCGGGGGACCCGGCGGCCGGGGGGCTGCTCCCTTCGGGTCCCCGCTGTGCATTTGTTTATCCTGGTGAGCCCTGCGGGCGCCCTCCAGGTGAGGTCCGGAAGGCAGCGAGCCCTCCCCACCCCCCCACCCCCCCAGGCCGGTGACACACCCCTCCGGGGACCCCAGCCACCGGGGGATGGGCGCTGTGCCAGGCTCTGAGGCAGAAGACTGCTTGGAAGTGGTGTGTTAGTGGCAAACCCTGGCCAGACCTTCATCCTCGCCTTTCCTGCTTCCTGTCATTCTGACTGGCTCCGTGATGTCCTTTGGCTCCGGGAAGGAGGGGGAGCGCGCGTTCCCTAAATTTCTCAATCTTTGTCACTTCCCATTCTGATGATCTAACAGAAACCGTGGTTTGGGATTAACCCTTGTTTCCTTTTGGGTCTGTGATTTCCGGTCCTGTCCTTTAACACCATGTGGTAATCCAAAATAGTAGAGGTCACACTTCCAGTTTGCTTCCTTCCTCTTATGGGGTGGTTGAGAATAGGTACCTGCCTGCCTCAGCCCCATCCCTCCCCATGCTGTCCTCTTTGCATAGATATGCCCAGCCACCATCCTTCCTCACCAAGTGTTTAATTTTAATTGAATGTACCTCCTTACAATCTAATAGAACTGGAGAGAGGAGGCGGGAATTAACTTACCAACTGGGCCCGCTTTCAAGGGCCACCTGGGATGTTATGGTTGCATAGCTACTGAGCTGACAGATGTTATCTGCTTTGTCATTTCTTTACTTAAAAGGCCTAATGCTACAGTCCCCAAACTACACAACCAACTATTTGGGAATCATTAAAAAAAAAAAAATTACTAATTGCTGGCTGCCATCCCCAGATTTTCTGATTCCATTGCTCGAAAGTAAGACCAGCTTCCTAGGTGATTCTGCTAAGCAGCAAATTGGGAACCAGTGTCCTAGTGTTTCCCGGATCTACCTGACAGTGAAAAGACATATCCTGAGGAACTGCTCAGCGTCACCTGGGGTGGGGCTTGGAATCTGTTAACACTGCCCAGGGAATTCACATGATCAGACAGGTTCTGCCAGCCCTGCAGCCGTAGGTACTGACAGTACTCAATAAAATGGCTTTCCAGGTGTGGGCTCCGCTCCAGAACCACCTAGTGGCCAGGTGGTCGGCAAACTCATCAGTCAACTCATGAACCAAATATCAACAGTACAACGATTGAAATGTCTTCTGAGAGCCAATTTTTTTCATCTTAAACTTCTTCTAACGCCACTTCTTCAAAATAGACTCGCCCAGGCCGTGGTATTCTGTGGAAGGGCCACACTCAAGGGGCCAAAGAGCCGCATGTGGCTCGCGAGCCACAGTTTGCCTACCTCGGACCTAGCCTATCCCCAGGTTTTGGACTCAAGCAGGTCTCATTCAGTTCCACCGTGAACTCGGTCATTGTGATGCCCATACAGCTGGCTACCAGGAGTGACTTGCTGGGTAGGATGTGAAGCACTGGGAATTGAGCTCTCTCTCATGCAGCTTTTCCCTCTTAGCTCCTGAAGCTCCTGGGAAGACCGGCTTACATCTACCTTAGGGGATCTGTGAAGTTCTAGACTGCAGATAGTATAGTAGCTTCCTCTCCCCCTTCTCCGCAATTTCCCTTCCACGGTTTTAGTTACCAAAGCCTGAAACTGTTACGTGGGAAATTCCAGGGGAGAAAGAAGGGGAAAAAAGCTCATAAGTTTTAAATTGCACATCATTCTGAGTAGCATGATGAAATTTCGAGGCGTCCTGCTCCATCCCACTCGAGACATGTTCATCTCTTTGTCCAGCGTTTCCATACTGTGTACAGTCCCTTCCTGTTAGTCACTTACCAGGTCAGTTATCAGAGAGTGACCACCTTCACTTAACTCTGAGCACAGTATATTGTTATAATTGTTCTATTTTATTATTAGTTACTAGAGGTCTGGTGCACAACATGCGTGCACTGGAGGGGGGTCCCTCAGCCCAACCTGTGCCCTCTCACAGTTCAGGATCCCTGGGTGTACCTTCTTGTAGGGGTCCTTAGCACTGCCATGGTAAGCCTGGCTGTGTGCCTGGCTTCTAGCTGAGCGGTGCTCCCCCTGTGGGAGCACACTGACAACCAGGGGACAGCTCCTTCATTGAGCATCTGCCCCCTGGTGGTCAGTGTGCATCATAGTGACCGGTCATCCCGCTGTTTGGTTGATTTGCATGTTAACCTTTTACTATAAAGGATTGTTAATTTCTTACAGGGTCTAGTTTATGTTAGATTTTATCATTGGTATGTATGTATAGGGAAAAACACCATATAGGAAACTACCCCCAGTTTCAGGAATTCCCAGTGGATAAGGGAGAATACGGTATCGGTGCCTCACTATAGGATATGGTAGGCTCTAGTCACATGTGGCTCTTGAGCATTGGAAATGTTCCTACTCCAAATTAAGATGTGCCATCACTGTAAAATACACCAGATTTCGAAGACATAATAGAAACAAAAAGCACAGTAAAATATCACACTAATACTACATCCTATATTGATAACATGTTAAAATATATTGGTTTCATTACCTATATTGATAACATGTTAAAATATATTGGTTTCATTAAAATTAATTTTATCTCTTTTTAGCATGGTTACTATAATAGAATTTTAAAAATTACATTATGTGGCTACTGCTATATTTCTTTTGGGCAGCACAGTATCTTAAGATTCATATGAAGTGTTCGCTACCTTGATTATGAGGATTTTTTAAAGCAATAAGTGCTTTGCTTTTATCTATCTTGCCATGATCGAAACTGACTCAGGGTCTAAATTGAAGGCTTAAAAATAAAAACGACTCATCTCTTAACTTCCTGATCCAATTCATCTTATTGAAATTGTGACTAGTGACCCATAGCAATCCATCTTCAAAAAGAATTTCATTTCTCAGTTCTGTCATCAGTCACATGATGATGAAACAGTTAAATCACATGCTGATGTGAAATCACGTGTCTCTTTAGCAATTCATTGCACAGATGGTAAAATTATCGTGACCTTCCGGCCCTAGGCTTCAGTATATCCAACTAGAGTTAAATGGGAGCTTATGTTGCAGTTGAATTCCTAGAAACCCTGAAGAAGAGGGTTTGTAAAGGGAAACGCCCATATCTAGATGGGAAATGAATTTGGAGACTGCTCAGATCAGATAAACGCATAATAAGTAACTAGAACCAGTGAATTTCTGAAGTTCCAGCCACTTATAAGGAGGAGAGAGGGATGTTAGCATTTCTTGATTCCAGAAAAAAAAAAAAACCTTAATAGTCACTGGAAGGTGTGTAACAATAGCTCAGATTTGTGGAATTGCCCGATTTCCATGGTGTAGATACTTCCATCATGCCAATTTCATCCTATTGATGGTGACTACCAAACTTTGTCCTAAGCTTTTGACATGCATTAACTTCTAAAACCTCACAACAACCATCTTGGGAAGTTCTGATATCATTCCCATTTTATAGATGGAAAAACGGAGGCACAGAGAAGTTAAGCTACTTATACAAGGTATGCCTTATCGAGGGATAGAGCTGAGACATGAACCAGAGATCAGCTGGCTTCCATCTGTTTTCCAGTGCTCTAACCACTATGTGCTGATGCCTTTACATTTTTAATTATTCAGACTGACATTAATGTCCCCTCTTCAGAGGAAAGGGGCATACCTGTGACTTGAATTCTTGGAGAAAAAAATAAAAAATACTATAAAAAGCTATTTGCACGGTATATCTTTTCTAGAAGGCAAGAGAAGAGTCCTCAGAGGTAGAAGGCTTGAGGTTAGATCCTGATTATGTCACTCACCTGTGTGACTTTGGGCAGATGACTTAACCTCTCTGTGTCTGTTTCCTTCTCTGTAAAATGGAGATAATGATGATACTTGACTCACACAGTGGTCAGGATTAGTTAATTTATACAAGGAGCTTAGACCAGTGCCTAGCACCTAAAAACACCCAAAATGGTAACTGTTATTACCAGAAATCTTACCTCTTGGTGATTCTGCAGGTCATAGTGCATTTGAAAGTGCTCATCCCTTGCTGGTTTAGCTCAGTGGATAGAGCGTCAGCCTGTGGACTAAAGGGTCCTGGGTTCAATTCCGGTCAAGGGCACATGCCTGGGTTGCAGGCTTGAACCCCAGTAGTGGATGTGCAGGAGGCAGCTGATCAATGATTCTCTCTCATCATTAATGTTTCTCTCCCTCTTCTTCTCTGAAATCAATTTAAAAAAATTAGTTTTCAAGTGCTCAAATGTCTAATAAGAGGGTCAGCATTAACTGATCATTTTCTCTCTGCTGATCACTGTGCTAAGTTCTTTATCCGCATCAGCTTATGAATTTCCCACAAATCACCTGTGGTTTAGGTGTTACTGTGCCTATTTTGCAGAAGTGGAAATGGAGGGCGCCCTTCCCCACCCCCTCACAAAATTAATCGGCTTTTGTAAAGCCACATAATTAGTGAACGTGGTTCTTCCAGCTTCTGGCTAGCAGAGGCTCCCTGGCGTCAGTGCAGATTCACCAAGCCCTAATGGCAACTCAAGAGGCCCCTTTTATCTTGTAGGTGGGTGTTAGTGTGGGAAAAGGGCTACCAGGAAGTGGACTCTGTGGTCAGCTCGGTTACTGCCAAAGCCAAGGGCGTGACTGTAACTAACAGTTCTCAGCTCGGATTCCGGATCTGGGATGTGGCCGATTATGTGATTCCAGCTCAGGTAAGCTGCTCATTATGACTCTATCCAATGCGAAAGCCTCTGCTTAGCTCCCTGCTCTTTGCTGACCTTGCACACTTGATTAATGGTTGGCATGGCCAGCACGCTCAGATCCCTGAAGCCCAGACTGCCTGTTTTAGTCCAAGAAATAAATCAGTGCGCACAGATCTCCTTTTGGCTTGCAATCTAAGAGGTAATAGTCAGTCGGCTGTGTTTCTTCAGCTCTTAAACCACAGGAAACTTTCCATGTGGGCATCTCGGTCTGTCTCAAGCCTCGAAAGGTGAAAAGGCAAATGTTTTAAGTCCGAGGGAAATATTCAGATAAAGGAATCGCCTTTCCACATTTTGTATTTGCTTTATGGTTATAAACCCACAAGCGAACCGTTTCAGAAAGCATTAACAACTTTAACAGTGCCCAGCTGGTGTGGCTCAGTGGTTGAGTGTCGACCTATGAACAAGGAGGTTCAATTCCCAGTCAGGGCATATGCCCGGGGTTGCAGGCTTGATCTCCAGCGTGGGGTGTGCAGGAGGCAGCTGATCAATGATTCTCTTTCATCATTGATGTTTCTATCTCTCTCTCCCTCTCCCTTCCTCTCTGAAATTAGTAAAAAAAAAAAAAAAAAAAAAAACATTAAAAAACAAACAAACAAAACTTTAACAACAACAACCAGAGATGAAAAGCCAAACAGAAGGAAACAGACATCCCCCCATAGGGCTCCATCAGGAATAAAGGGAAAGGAAGAAAGTATTTGACACAGCATCTTAGTCTGTGAACCCACAAACCTCCAAGTTAAATATTGACTCTCTCTAGCCTTGGTAATGGCCACGCACCACACAGCCAAACCCCAGCACAGCCCTCCAGATGGCTTATGGGCTAGGGTGACCGGAGTGGTAAATGCAGATAAGCTATCAACTCTTGGCTCAGAGCATTGCAAGGACTTCAGAAACTCTCTCTTCAAGTGTGTTCACCCCCCTCCCCCCACCTTCTCAATGAGGAGGGTCTCACAGGGGATTCACAGTGGCTGCAGCTAGCTGGTCCTGTTGGCACATACCTGTTTCAACAGAGACCTCTTTCCTGTCAAGTCATGGCCCCATCCTGGGAGTGTTATTCAGCCCGTTTATTGGAACCGAGGAAGAGACGGCCCCTGCCTCTGCCCCTCCGCGGAAAGGCGCACGCAGCCTGTCTCAGACCTGGGGCGAAGCGGGTCCACGGGGCTCCTCGGGAGCTTCCACGCCCTCCTCAGGCTTCTCCAAAGTTGAAACACAAGCATTTGTTTGCATGGCACCTGCTTGGCTCATTTCCAGGCTGAAACTTCCCTAAACTTAGATAAGAGATAGGAACCAAAAAGTAAACCGCGTGGAATCGTTCACATCTGACCCTGGAGAGGGGGAGGGGCGGCCTTCTGTCTTCACCGAGAGTTTACAGAGGGCACATCCGGGAACCCAACAGGTGCCAGGCCAGACTCGGGCTCCTGCCACACCTGTGCCTCCTCCTGTGGCTGCCTGCCTGCTTCCAGCATGGCTTGGTCTAGGCCTTTCTCTCGAAGATGCCAGCTATTACACAGCTCCCACCACCTTGTCAGCACTGGAGGTGCAGATGCCCACAGACTCCTGGGTACTTGAATTGCTCTGATCCCCCAGGTGGCTCCAGCGCCCACTCTGCCCTTCCCCGGGGTGTGAGCTGCTGACAGCTGCCCAGGGAGGGGGAGGCCCAGGCAGAACCTGTGGGGTCTTTGTTCTTTACTGCTTGTAATCGGAGGTCATTATTAGCAATTCTTCAGTCTCATCCCCAACAAACTGCTCTCGAATTTCTTAGAAACTTCTAATAAATGAATCGTTTGGCACTTGGGGTTATGAGGAGAAAGCAGAACCATCTGAAAGGGAGAAGTGTCGCTGGCCGACACCGGTGTGATTTGTTTGTTTTAATTCCGGTTAGGAAAGAAAACCAGCCAAATTCGAGACCTTTAAATGTTTGTTTGGTGGTTTTGTTTGTTCCCCTTAAGATCATCCGGTTGGCAGAGGGCATTTGAGACATTGTTGGCTCTTTTCCCTCAATTAGTCAAGCTTATGAAGGAACCATTTTAGGTTATAGACGTCCTTAAAAAGTGGAGGTGACACTCGCTTATCACAGTACTAAGCTATTCAAAATGAAAAATTCAGTGGCGTGCAGCACATTCATGATGCTGTGCAACCATCCCCTCAGTCTAGCTCCAGACCATTTTCGTTGCTCTCAAAGGAAACCCCATACTCATGTAGCAGCCACTCTAGTTCACCCTTCCCCTCACCCCACAGCAAGAGTCAGTCTGCTTCCTGTCTCTACCGATTTACCTCGTCTGGACATTTCATATCAACGGGACCCTACAGTGTGTAGGATTTTGCATCTGGCTTCTCACTCAGCATCATGTTCTCAAGGTTCATCCAGTTGTAGCAGGTGTCAGTGGCCCCTTCCTTTTTCATGGCCGTATAGTATTCCCAGCGTAGGCACAGACCACCGTTTGTGTGTCCATTCATCTTGTCAATAAGACACTGGGGTTGCTTTTCCCTTTGGGTCCTTGTGAATGATGCTGCTCCGAACCTGAGTGCACAAGTATTTGCTAGAGTCCGTTTTCCATCCGGCTACCAACTCTCAGAGGGGAGAATGGGGGACCGACCATAAGATCAGCTTTTAAAATTGTCTTCTGCTTGAAGTGAAAGATGCTGCCTCTGTTTTCGTTTGGTTGGTTTTTATGTATTGATTCTAGAGGAAGGAGGGAGAGACAGACAGAGAGGGAGAGAGAACCATCCATTTGCTATTGCGTTTACTCACGTGCTCATTGGTTGATTGGCTCATTGGTTGTGTGTCCTGACCGGGATTGAACCCCCGCCTTGCTGTCTAGGGATGAGGCTGTAGTGAACTGAGCTCCCCGGCCAGGGGGGTGCTGTCCTGTTAAGTGGGCGTCCGGCTGTGTGGCTCTGCGTGGCTCCCCTGAAGGTGACGTAACAGGGCTCTCCCTTCTGTCCCCACTGCAGGGGGAGAACTCCATCTTCATCATGACCAACATCATTGTCACCATGAACCAGACCCAAGGCTTCTGCCCTGAGGTAGGCAGCTTCTTGGGAAAAGGCTCAGGCCTCATGCCGCCCCTGCCCACCTGGACCCGCTGAATGTGGGGGGGGGGGGGGCTGGCCGTGTGGAACCTGCTTTCACTCCTCCTCCTCCTCCTCTTCCTCTCAGCTTCCAGGGAGGACCAGTGTGTGTAAGTCAGACTCCGACTGTCCTGCTGGCACTACCGACACCCACAGCAGTGGTATGAACACGTGACTGCAGGCCCTCAGCAGACACTCAACCCGGGGCCGGCAGCCCCCGACCCTACTGCCTCCCCTGAGAGGGGAATCTCAGGAAGGAGAAACCAACCCTCCACATGCCCCAATGCCTTCACACGGTCCTGTGGGAGGCTCTCGGCAGTCCTCTCTGCCATCGGCGCCCGAGAAGCCATCCCAGACCTTGCCCCGTGCCGTGGCTTGGCGTCACCCCAGCCCTGCCGTTGGCAAAGCAGAGATGTGGCGAGGACTCGGGCAGCCGTGTCCCTCCAATTCCTCTCTTGGAGCGCCGTGTAAACCCCAGAATCGGCCCAGCTCAGAACTGACCGCGTAGGGTGCCACGGTAGGGCTGCCACCCTCTGCTTCACCGAAGTAGGAAACGGGAGGCCACCTGTGGACCTGGGCCCCCCTCCCCCTTCCCTGTAGGAGTTGCGACAGGAAGGTGCGTGCCCTACAACAGGACTCTGAAGACGTGCGAGGTGGCAGCCTGGTGCCCGGTGGAGGATGACTCCCACGTGCCAAGGTGAGTCCTAGCCAAGGGGTTCTTAGGCCGAAGGGAAGGCAGCAGGGGGGCTGAGCGACATCTGTGAGTGGCTCTGTGCTCTCGGTGTCTGTGTGGAGTCAGGCTTCCCTGGGTGGCGGTTCTCAACCACGCGTTCAGCAGCCATCAGTGGGAGATGGGTTGGCGAGATGGGTCCGGCCTTTGTCGCGATAAGAGAGCAGATGACTTATCTGTGTGTTAGGGTTCTGTCAGTTGCGAGTAACTGCCCAGAAACAGTTGTGCCTTACGTCCATTTTTCACAAAGAACAAGCCCTTGATCCCCACGTTGGGCAGCCGGAAATGTTCACTGCAGCTTCTAGTGACATTGTCTGACTTGTCCCTGGCCTTGTGCCTGTCTCAGGATCGGGAAGACTATCCTACATAATAAAAGACTAATATGCACATTAACAGAATGGCGGACCGACCAATCGCTGTGATGCGCCCTGACCACCAGGGGGCAGATGCTCAACTCAGGACCTGCCCCCTGGTGGTCAGTGCGCTCCCACACGGGGAGCGCCATTCAGCCAGAAGCCCCGAGCCAGGCTCACAGCTGGTGAGCACAGCAGTGGTGGCTGGAGCCTCTTCCCATGAGGGCTCCTGGACTGCAAGAGGGCACAAGCCCGGCTGAGGGACATCCCCCCACCCACCCAAGTGCCCAAATTTCATGCACTGGGCCTCTAGTTGTTTATATTTTCAAAGATTCCATCTGGATCTGGGGAGGCCTCCCCCACAGAGGGGTCAGCCTCCAGTGCCAGATTCTCCCTTGGAAATACATCCAAGTGGGGTCCCCTGGGGGACAGATTCCACTCGTCTTGTCAGCGGGGAGCTGATGTGGCACTTAGGAGAAGCTGGGGGCCAGAGGACACCAGCCTCTGGGTATTTTTGAGAGGTAATACTCTGGGTATTTCTAGCCTATAGGTGAAGTGGCCTGTGCTTTGACTTTTTAAAAAACATATATTTATTTATATTTTTTTACAGAGAGGAAGAGAGGGGGTTAGAGAGTTAGAAAAATCGGTGAGAGAAAAACATCGATCAGCTGCCTCCTGCACACCCCCTACTGGGTAGGTGTCCGCAACCAAGGTACATGCCCTTGACCGGAATCGAACCTGGGACCCTCGAGTCCACAGGCCGACGCTTTACCCACTGAACCAGACCGGTTAGGGCGTGTGCTCTGACTTTTGTAAAATCAGTCTGTTGAGCGTCTCCCCGAGGACAATGTCCCAGCACAGCCGAGAGAATCCCAGTGAGGCCACTGGGCACACCCCCCCTTAGTTGTTCCTGGCTCTCGGTTCCTGCGGCCCTGGGCAGGAGGTCCAGAGAGGAAGAAAGCTGAGGGCTTGGCCTATAATCTCCCCACTTGACCTAGTGTTTACACAATGGAGTAGAAAGTGCTAGAAATACCACCCTACCCAACCCCCCCCCCCTTTTTTTTTTTTTTTTTTAACAAAAAGACATTTTAACACACACATGTATATGTTTTAAAAGTATTACACAGGGCCCTGGCTGGTGTGGCTCAGTTGTTTGGGCATCGTCACGGTTTCACTTCTTGGTCAGGGCACTTACCAAGGTTGTGAGTTCAATCCCCAGCTGGGATGGGTGAAGGAGGCAACCAGTGGATGTTTCTCTCTCCCTTCTCCCTCTCTAAATAAATAAATAAATAAATGCTGGTTAGTTGTGTGTTTTTTTAAAATATATTTTATTGATTTTTGTACAGAGAGGAAGGGAGAGAGATAGAAAGCTAGAAACATTGATGAGAGAAAGTTATCGATCAGCTCCCTCTTGCATACCCCCTACTGGGGATATGCCCACAACCAAGGTATATGCCCTTGACCGGAATCGAACCCAGGTCCCTTCAGTCCCCAAGCCGACGCTCTATCCATTGAGCCAAACCGGTCTCGGCAATGCTGGTTAGTTTTTAAAAAATATTACATAGTGTCCTAGCCAGTTTGGCTCAGTGGATAGAGCATCATCCTGCAGACTGAAGGGTCCCAGGTCCAATTCTGCTCTAGGGCATATGCCCGGGTTTCAATAGGGGGTGTATAGGAGGCAGCTTATTATTGGTTTTCTCATCATTGATGCTTCTCTCACTCCCTCTCTGAAATCTGAAATCCTCTCTGAAATCAATTTAAAAAAATAGTCCATAGCTTTGTGAGTGTACATATATTTATACTTACATCAACAATGTTATCATTGACCATATGTTATCATTTCTTCCAGCCCTGCCTTTTTAAAGGCTGCAGAAAACTTCACCCTTTTGGTTAAGAACAACATCTGGTATCCCAAGTTTAACTTCACCAAGTAAGTGGTGGCCGGCGGTGTGAGTTCACCAGTGTCTTGGAGGGAACTCTTTTTTTTTTTTTTTTTTTTTTGAGATCTTCCTTGTTTCCATTTTCTGGCTCCTCCCAACTTTAGGAGAAACATCCTTCCCAACATCACCACCACCTACCTCAAGTCATGCATTTACGATGCCGCCACAGACCCGTTCTGCCCCATCTTCCGTCTTGGCAGACTAGTGGAGTACGCCGGGAACAGCTTCCAGGACATGGCCGTCGAGGTAGGCACCCGGCTTTGCTGGCCCCGTCTCCGACACGTCTCATTTCAGATCAGGCTCTAAGGAAAGCGCGCCCCCTTTGTCTCTGCTCGCGACCCACAGGGCGGCATCATGGGGATCCAGATCAGATGGGACTGCAACCTGGACAGAGCCGCCTCCTTCTGCCTGCCCAGGTACTCCTTCCGCCGCCTGGACACTCGGGACAAGAACCACAACGTGTCCCCCGGCTACAATTTCAGGTGGGCATGGGCATGGGCATGGGCTGATGGGTGGGCATGTGTGGTGGGTGGTGGTGACTGGGGTCACTCCCCAGTGGGGGCATCCACACCCACCTAAGACCAGCATTCAAGCAGCGCCACGGGCAGGTGGGAGCCGTGTGCCAGGAGAATGCTCCTAGAGAGGCCATGCCCCTGTGGCATCCTGGCGTGGGAGAGAGGATGCCCTTTCTTGTCTCAAGAAACATATTGAGCCCGGCTGGTGTTGCTCAGTGGTTGGGCACTGACCTATGAACCGGGAGGTCATGGTTCAATTCCCAGTCAGGGCACATGCCCAGGTCATGGGGTATACAGGAGGCAGCCAATCAGTGATTCTCTGTCATCACTGATGTTTCTCTTTCTCCCTCTCCCTTCCTTTTTAAAGTCAATAAAAAGTTAAAAAATAAAAGAAACATGTTGAGGCAATTTTCAGAGCAGCTGAGAGAGGCTGGCTGCTCTACTCTCGCGGGCCTCAGCCGGGACCCTCACTCACTACTTTCGAGAAAGGGCTGTTTGTGACCCTCTAGTCCAGAGGCCTCCGAGCTCTGACCCAGGAACTGATTTCTCAATTACAGAGTCTGCCTCGGCATCTCCAATCTGCACAGGATATAGGTTTCAGTCTCAGGAGAGGCCTTAGTATTTCTCTGCTGCAAGTGCTGTGTATTCGTTTCCTAGAGTTGCCAAAACAGAGGACTACAAACTGGGGGGTTGGGAACAACAGGAATGTATTCTCTCACAGTTCCCGAGGGCAGAAGCCCCAGATCCTGGTGTCAGCAAGGCCGGGCTCCTTCCTTGCTTCTTCCAGCTTCCGGTGGCTCCCGACAATCCTTGGTGTTCCTTGGCTGGTAGAGGCGTCACTCCGGTCTCTGCCTTCTCCCCTCTGTGCCTTTGTCTACATGTCCTCTCCTCTTCTCAGAAAGACACCAGTCATATTAGATTCAGGGCCTGGAACTCAGTAGGTCCTCATCTTAGGGGCCAGGGTCCCGTTTGCCAATTTCCTGAGGTGGTGAAACCTGTAGCCACATACGTTTGTACCTGCCCTTTGTCGCATCTTGCACACAAGTAGCCACTATCAAAAATAGGCTCGGCTCAGTGGATAGAGCATCAGCCTGCGGACTGAAAGGTCCCAGGTTCGATTCCGGTCAAGGGCATGTATCTTGGTTGCGGGCACATCCCCAGTAGGGGTATGCAAGAGGCAGCTGATTGATGATTCTCTCTCATCGATGTTTCCAACTCTCTATCCCTCTCTGCAAAAAATCAATTATATATATATATATATATTTTTATTTTTTATTTTTTATTTTTATTTTTTTTTAATAGGCTCCAGGCCCTGGCTGGTTTGGTAAGATAGAGCATCGGCCTGTGGACTGAAGGGTCAAGGGCACATGCCCGGGTTATGGGCTCAATCCCCAGTATGGGGTGTGCAAGAGGCAGCTGATCAATGATTCCCTCCAATCATTGATATATATCTCTCTCTCTCTCCTCTTACCCCTCCCCGCCTTCCTCTGAAATTAAAAAATAGGCCCAGGAGGGGCCACATGAAGTCAGTGGTGCTTTTTGTGTTGCATTTGTCTCCCTCTAGTGGTGACACGGGGAACCAAATGCACTTGCCATCTGCAGTCCTTTTAAACCATCTGGCTCACTGATAGAAAGGCGATGTTTGAATCTTTTCCTAGGAAGGGAGTTCGAGCTGTGTAGCTCTGTCTCTGCCCTCACACAGTTCTTGTAGAAACCACTGGGTTGGAATCCCAAAACAGAGAAAGGCCGATGGGGCCCTCACAAGGACAGCCCTTCCCTGACTCCTGCCAGCATCAGGCCCTGCCCAAGTCCCAGGCCTGGGCCATGGCACGGGGACAGATCATGGGCCAAGGGTTTAGGTTCCAGGATTCCCTGTATAAAACAGGCAGCAAACGTATCACATCTCAGTGGTTCTCCCTCAGCCATTTCCGTGTGTGTGTGTGTGTCTGTGTGTGTGTGAAGGCTTTGAGACATAGTTCATATACCACACAGTTCATCCATTTGAAGTATAGAATTCTGTTGTTTTCAGTACATTCACTGAGTTGTGCATGTGCACAGTTTTATTTTTTTTTTAAATATATTTTATTGATTTTGTACAGAGAGGAAGGGAGAGAGAGAATTAGAAACATCAATGAGAGAGAGTCATCGATCAGCTTTGTGTCTGTGTCTGCTTTCTTTTCCTCAGCATCATGTTTCTTTAGAGATTTATCCAGGCTGTAGCATTTATTAGTACTTTATCTCTTTTTTTCAGCCAAATAACCATTCCATTGTGTGCATATACCACATTTACCCATTCATCCATTGATGGAGCAATGGTGGTTTTTTTCTTTCTTTCTTTTTTTAATATATTTTATTGATTTTCTTACAGAGAGGAAGAGAGAGGAATAGAGAGAAACATCGATGAAAGAGGATTATCGATCAGCTGCCTCCTGCACACCCCCTACTGGGGATGTGCCCGCAACCAAGGTACATGCCCTTGACCGGAATCGAACCTGGGACCTTTCACTCCGCAGGCGGACGATCCATCCACTGAGCCAAACCAGTTTCGGCAATGGTTCTTAAAAAAAAAAAAAAAAAAAAAAGTCCAGTGCTGGTGCTGGGCGTGACCAGCTTGGAGAACGCAGCTGGCCGGCGCCGTGCCCTGAGTGGCCAGGGTCTCCTTGAGAGAGGCAGGTGGCCCTGCTGCCAGGAGGGAAGGGCATTCGGAGCTAGAGGTTCCGGTTGAAGACAGAGGAGGCCGCCGTGTTGGGAGAGTGGGAAGCTTTGTCAGCAAGCCAGTCCTCCTGCTGGTGGCCCACCCGCACGGGAGCCGGGAGAGGCCCCGAGGTGCCGGGCGTCATCTGTGCAGCAGGCAGAGCCGATCTTCGGCCAGTGCCAATGCTGCGAGGGCGCGGGGAGAGGGGGCAGGGCAGGGTTCCGCTGCCGCATCACCGGCCCAGGACCCAGAGGGCAGATCCGGCCGCGGTTTCCCACTGCGGCGCCCTTCCCTCCCCCCAGGTTTGCCAAGTACTACACTGACCTCACGGGCACGGAGCACCGCACACAGATCAAGGCCTACGGCATCCGCTTCGACATCATCGTGTTCGGAAAGGTAGCTGGGCCGCCGGGCCCTCATCCAGACCCTGCTAGTCGCTCTAATGAGTGGGCCAGGGGCGAGATGTCCTCTCCCCACTCTTTGCCTGCCCTTTACCCACCCTTATCGCAATTTTTTTTTTTCTCCCTTCCCTCCTCCGGTCCTTTGCAGGCTGGGAAATTTGACATCATCCCAACCATGATCAGCATTGGCTCCGGCTTGGCGCTCTTCGGGGTGGTGAGTGACTCAGACTCTCTGTTCACCCCTGGGCTGGGGCCCTCCGCCATCGTTAGCTTGGCAGGCAAGCCCCTCGAAGCTGAAGGCCTGGGCCTTCCCTTCAACCCTCTGGGCTTCTTTCCCGCCCCCTACCCACACCCCCACCCCTACCCCCACTTCCGCTTCCAGAGGACTGCACCCCTCAGGGCCTGGCCTTGTAAGGTGACCAGATGTCCCAGTTCTGGCGGGACAGTCCCGCTTTTTAACAATTTGTGCCGCGGCGTTTTTAAAAAAAGTCCCGATTTTTTTTTTTTTTTTTTTATCGGGACTTTTTAAAAACGCCACAGGACGCGGGACAAATTGTTAAAAATTGGGACGTCTGGTCACCTTACCATAGAGGTGGAGGAGACTTGCTTTTCCTTGGGAAGATCCCAGGCACAGACAAAACGGGGACTAACACACCCCGGCTTGTTCTTTCAGGCAACAGTGCTGTGTGACATCATAGTCCTCTACTGCATGAAGAAAAGATATTACTTCCGGGAGAAGAAGTACAAATACGTGGAAGATTACGAGCAGGTAGACCGCCTCTCAAAATTACCTCACTTGCCTCCGGTGCCAGTGGTGACAACATTGAGAGCTGGGCCTGGCACCCCCATCAGTCCCAAGCCACCCGTGACATCTGATTCACCTCTACACCACCCGCACTAGTCCTTACTTCACATGGACCCACTCTTTAAAATTTAGCGCCCCCCCCAAAAAAAAAAAATTAAAAACATTAATAAAATTTACTCCTATCAAGATGGCGGCATAGGTAAACAGCTGGTCTGCCACCTCGCAAAACAATTTAAAAATTAAAACTAGGCCGAGACCGGTTTGGCTCAATGGATAGAGCGTCGGCTTGGGGACTGAAAGGTCCCGGGGTCGATTCCGGTCGAGGGCATGTGCCTTGGTTGCAGGCATATCCCCAGTAGGGGGTGTGCAAGAGGCAGCTGATCGATGACTCTCTCTCATCGATGTTTCTAACTCTCTATCTCTCTCCCTTCCTCTCTGTACAAAATCAATAAAATATATATATTTTTTAAAAAAATTAAAACTAATATAAAGGATATCTATCACCCAAAGCCACGGGAAGGCTGGCTGAAAGAGAAAGGAGCACAAGCACTGAAAAGCTGAGGAGCCTAGGTACGGAGGCACGCAAAGGGAAACAAGCTCCCAATCACTTTGAAATCCAGTTCTGAGGTCACGTGGGGAACCCAGACGCATACGGGGAGAAGCTGTCGAGTCCGAAAGTGAGGGTGACTCTCTTGCAGAGGTGCAGGCAGCAATCATTGTTTACTGCACTGGATCGTAGGGAAGCAGGGACTTGGAAATACGAAAGGGCAGGGACTGTTGATGGCAGCCATCGCTGTTAGCCACACCCCAACCTAGTGACATGCTGAGGCCCCGCCCCGCCCTGAGGCCCTGCCCTGAGGCCCAGCCCACACATTCTACAGACCTGCCCAGGAAACACACAGCTGCTTTTGCATATAAATGGCCTGTATTGTGGCAGCTTAATAGTATAAACTGCAGTTCCAGCAAGGAACAAGCAAACAGAAAACTAGTTCTCGCTGTAGCTCCTGCAGGGTGGCCTCAGACCACAGCTGAACTGCATCCCCTTGGAGATCCAGAAGCCAATGTTCCTAGTGGTCAATTTCAACCACTCACACCCATAAGTGACATATTCGGGAGACGGCTCAGTGAGCACCAAAGCCCCACTGAAACAAAGCAAGTCTCCAGCACAGCAGTTCTTCCTTTATAGACACAGCGGGTCCTCACAGACAATTGGCCTGGAGATCAATTCCTCCCAGTTAAGGCTTAATTACACCAAGACTTTCCACTCAGCCCACAAAGGGACATACCAAAAGCGACCACCTCAGGTGATTGGGGAAGCTGAACTACTGGACCCTATATATACAGAAACTCAACTATAGATCAACGTACTCCAAGAATCAAACCAAAGATCTGGAATATAAGGAAGAAAAAAATCACCCAACCAGAGAGGCAGAAAGAAAGAAGAATCCAAAAGTCAGGATAGTGTAAGGAGCCTCCGGGATGGCTTAAAGCATACCAACATCCGGATTTTTTGGGGTGCCAGAGGAGAGCTAGCAGGATGTTGAAGGACTATTGAAAGAAATAATGACAGAAAACTTTCCCTACCTGGTAGAAATAGATTTACAAGTTCAGGAAGCACACAGAACCCCAAACAAGAGGAATCCAAAGAGGACCACACCAAGACACATCATAATTAAAATGCCAAGGGCAAAAGACAAAGAGAATCTTACAAGCAGCAAGAGAAAAACAGCTAGTCACCTACAAGGGAATACCCATACGACTGTCAGCTGATTTCTCAACAGAAACTATGCAGGCTAGAAGGGAGTGGCAAGAAATATTCAAAATGATGAACAACAAGAACCTACAACCAAGATTACTCTACCCAGCAAAGCTATCATTCAGAATTGAAGGTCAGATAAAGAACTTCACAGACAAGAAAAAGTTAAAGGAGTTCATCAACACCAAACCAGGATTACATAAAATGCTGAAGGGTATTTTTTAAGAAGATGAATAAGAAAAAGGTAAAGGTAAAAATTACAAACAAAAAGACATCAAATACATACCTACCAACAAGTGAATCTAAAAATCAAGTGAATAAAAAAATCTGAAGAACAAAATGGACTGGTGAATATAATAGAATCAGGGACATAGATAGAGATTGGATTAACAAATTCTCAGGGAGAAGGGGGTTTGAAGGGTACGGGAAGAGATTGGACAAAAATCTTACACCTATGGATGAAGACAGGGGCTGGGGTAAGGGCATGGGGTGGAGTTGGGAATCAGGTAGAGGGGAGCTATGGGGGAGAAACACCTGTAATAATCTGAACAATAAAGATTTATTATTTTAAAAAAAAATTTAGCCTCCTTTTAATCAGTGACACCTCTGGTGAGTCATGATAACAGATATTATGACAAAATCACCTTGCATAGTAAACAGGGTTGGAAACCATGCTTTGCCACCACTGCACCAGGACCAACTTGGGTGCATGCAGCTCTGAAGTCCTCAACAAAGGCACCCAGCCCTTGCCACCCAGAATGCTCCAGGTCCTCAACAAAGGCACCCAGCCCATGCCACCCAGAATGCTCCAGGCTTGCATGCGGGCAGTGCCAGGTGAGGGTACGTTTATCCATAAGCATATCCATTAATGGCAAATGTGTCGTTCTTTGCAGGGTATCCACAATGAGATGGACCAGTAATGTCTACCCCACATCTGGGCTCCCCACGGCACTCATCAAAGCCAAGGAAAAATCAGAGAGAAGGGAGAAAAGGCTTCCATGGCACCCCCAGGGAAAGTTCGAGATTCTGAAGTCAGTGTCCACTCCATAAGTCCTTCAGGGCTGCCCAGCTGCTCCCATTTTGTGTTGCAAGAGGTGCGCATCTTTAACCACCCTGTTCTTGGCTGGGTCACCTTTGCTGACCCTTCAACTCGGGATCCTTTGGGTGAGCCGTGGCCCCAGGGCAGTGATGCCACTGTAGCCACTGGGCTGGGGCCTTCTCCAGGACCGGCTCTCTTCAGAAGCTCCCCTGGGGCGCCCCCTGCAGGCCAGGCCCAGCGGCGCAAGTGCAAGGACCTAACTGCGGGTCCTCTCCCCCTGCCAGACTTTGTTCGTGTGATCATGAGGCGGACCTAGCGTTTCTCTTTTGAGAAGAGGTATTCTGAGATGACTGAGGACCAAACATTAAAACAAATGATTTTCTTAATCTCCGTCTGCGAGGTTTCCTAGCAGGAGCTGAAATGTTCTTCTTTCCTTCCCTAGTAAATCCGTTTGTGGTCCCAGCCCATTGTGCTCAGTGTGAGGCTGAAGCCTCGGTACTTTTTTTTCCTACTTCAACTTTCTCTTAAGAATTTTGATTTTCATCAAGGATTTTGATCTTCACCAGGCTGTGTTCTTGCAGAGTTTACAAGATTTCTTTTCTCTAGGGACAACTCGCCTGACCAGTGCTTATATTTTCCCTAATACGACGGCACTGTATACACTCTAGGGGGGCACCATTTTAGGTAACATGACAACAGCTTCTCTTCCCTCCCCACCCCGTTTGCTTTCCAGAAGCTTCCGACCAGAAGCAGCACCAGCACCACCTCCACCTCCGTTGCCACTGGTGTGAAATGTTAATGAAGCTATTTCTGGTTTAGCCTTCACACTGACTTCATTCCGCACCAGGTGTTCAAGGTCTCCCCAAAGAAAGCAGTTGCCCCCCCCCCCCTTGTCTCGCATTCATTTCCGAGCACTGAAGGAGATGTTCATTTTTAAAGGGCCCTGCTTCTGTTGGGCAAATGATCAAGCTGGGCTTTTCTTACTTTGGGGAAGGTTTCCTAGCCTTGGCTGGTGTGGCTCAGTTGGCTGAATGCCATCCAGAGCACGTGTCGAGGTTGCAGGCTCGATCCCCAGTAGGGGTATGCAGGAGGCAGCCAATTGATATTTCTCACTCATTTATGTTTCTCATCAATGTTTCGCTTTCTCCCTTTTCTCTAAAATCAATTAAAAATATGTATTTTTTAAAAAGGCTTACTGAAACCCTCTAAAAAAAAACAACAACAACAACAACAACTCTGGTACGTGCTGCCTTTTTATTGAAAAATGCCCACTTAAACCCACAGCTCAAATGGAGCTGGAATTCTTAGGAATGCCCTCTAACCTTGCAGGCTAAGGAGTGATGGTTACTGGAGTGGAGGAGACTCCTGCTAGCCTCCCAGTGCAGCGAGAATGCTAGGGCCAGTTGGGGTGACAGCTGGGGGCTGGGGATGGCATTGCTTGTTTTATTCACCAGAGTCACCTTTTGGCTCAGCTACGTCCCCACCTGATGGCACTGCCTATCAAGAAGGGGTCCTCGCAGCCAAAATGGGCTTCTGGGAGTCTCTGGAACCCCTAAAAGAATGCATGCAAAGTGATGCACCTGCACGCATTCTTTTAGCTTTCATCAGATTCCATTTAATCACCGCAAGGTGCTCAATGCAAGCTCACCGGGCCCATCCGCTCCCGGGTTCTCAGGGGCTTTAATGGCAACACCTGCTTTTGGCTCTTAGAGGCCAGCGTCTCCACGTTGGATTTCTGCAGCAATGGAACAGGAAGCTCTCAGGCTTCCTCCGCTGCCTTTGGTAACAGAAAACGGAGGTGCACACCCAAGCAGGCACCCTCAGCCTCTCGTCCGGGGAAACCATTCGTTCCACAACAGTCTCCAGACGCCATGAAAACTGGCAGCGGGGGGAACGCTGTAAAACACTGACTTTGCCGACAGGCTCGGGCAAAGGCGATGACCCATAGGTTAGCAGTACCCACCTTGTGAAGTGTCATGTAGCAGGCCTACCCCCTGGGCTGTTTGATGTCTCGTGAAAACCGCTCCCGCAGCTGCTCACCTGTTTGATCTCCGCCCGAAAAATCAAACCATCGCCTGCCTGCGAGAGCCGTGTTTCTCAAACTTGAGCGTGCAGACCAGCCACCTGGGGATCCTGGGTATGTGAGGCCTGGGAGTCTGCATCTCTAATCCACCTCCCAGTGCAGCTGACACTGCTGGTCCGGGGACCACACTCTGAGCAAGACACCAGGACACGCTTAAATTAGGGATAAGTAACGTAATGCTGGACACGTTAGCCTTGACCTGGCATTTGACCTCACGTCGACCTAAGGAAGGAAAACAGACGTAAGGACTGATGTCCTAGAGAGTGCTGATCTAACGACCAACATAAAAATCCCAAGGAGGCCAGCTTTGCACCATTTTGGCTGTTTATTTCAAGTTTACAGAGAAGCTTAAACATCTGTGGAAAAACACCAAAGGCTTGTTATTTGTTTTGTTTTGTTTTCTTCTCAAGTTCATGTCTTTTTAAGAGATAAATACACAGTATTTAACTTTGTACACCTGATAAAAGGAAAAATGCATAGTAGAAAGGATCAGGAATGAAACGGAAACATCGGGCAGTAAATCACAGAATAGAAAAGTCAGCAGTCCCACGAAACTCGGCCCGTAGAGCTGGAGGGAAGATGGGGACCGACGACCTTGGAACCTTCCCTAGCACCTTAGAAATAAGTTGGAGGTCATGGTTCTTCCCCCCTGGCAACGTGAAGCTCCCCCTGGGAAGATGGGTGAGTGGCAGGTCGAACCTGTGTGTCTAAATGCACAGGTATGAGCCTCCTTGGTCCAGACAGGCTTTGAGGACAGGAGCCCTAACTCTCAGGAAAGGCCGGACTAGCAGGGAGACAGCCTCTCAGGCCCCCAGTGCCGACAAGGGGCTAGATAAGGCTTTATGGGAGCCACTGGTGAGCCAGCGGAATAGGGGCGGGGGGGGGGGGGCGGGGGCCGAGGAAAAGATGGCAAAGTTGTGCTTCCTTCGAGGCCCAGATGCAGGCCACAGGTTGCTTACACCCAATCGGTCCCACAGACGAGCCAGCAATGGGAGAAACGGACGGGCCTGAAACCGCTGCTCCTAATGGCTTCCCCTCGCCCGCCCGGGAGCCGGCTTTGGAAAAACCAATGTTTGCGCTCCAAGGGGGTGGTAGTTAACACCTCATGGTACAGCCCTCTCTGCTTAGGCTTCCTGGGGGTGGCAGCCAGTCCCTTTCCACAGATTTCTTTGGTGTTTATTTAAAAAAAAAAAAAAAAAAAGTCATGAACTTGGGCCTCCCCAACCCACCGCTGAAATGGGTGCTGCCTAATGACTGGCATTCCACACGTGAAACCTGCCACGCGAGGTCGCGGGGAGAGATGGCGCTGCCCCGTGCGGCTGTGTCAGCACAGGAGTTCTGCAGAAGCTCTGCGTGGGACGCGCCAGCCGCCAGGCCGGAGTCCACACGAACCAGCTGAGACAAACAACGGCAAGGTGCTCGCTGCAAACCCACCAGGCCCCACCCGCTCCCGGAAGGGGTGGGGCCCGGGCATCTAAACAAGCATAGCAGGGAGGGAGGGCAGGAGGAAGTGCCAGGTTACAAGCAGCAAGCAAACAGGCGAGAGGGCCCTCCATCGGGACAGGTGTCCTTTGCTCTTTGGAAACCAGCAGTTCCTCATTCTGTACTGTTAAAGGATCACGAGAAAGGACTGGCCAAATGACAGACAGTCCAGAGCTTACGTTCAAGATCTACAGATGCCAAGAATTCCTGAGCTCTGAGGATGTGCTGGGCAGGGGCACCAGTCCTTGCTTGTGTCTGTCTGTCTGCCTGTCTGTCTCTCTCTCTCTGTCTCCAAATGTCCTCATACCAAGGCCGACCGCACAGAGACTACAGAAAGCAGGTAGTGTTTCCCCGGGTTCCACAAAGCACCGGGAATCTCCCAGGACAAAGTCCTCCCAGTTTTCCTAACCCCTGACCTTCACCATCACCCACACGTAGCTCTGAAAGAAGTCCCACTGGGACTGCAGCCCCACTGCCCAGGATCAGATGGAGGTCAGAAAGGATAAACCTTTTCTCTTTGGGCTTCTGACTGCAGAAGGGAAGTCCTGTGCCGAGCCCGGGTTCCGGGGACCCTGAGGAGAGCTCTGGATTCCCACGGCCTACCCCGAAGGGGGTGTCAGGGTTCTCCCCGCGTCCATCCTAAAAGAGCTTTGCTGCTACGGATGATGGTTTGCGTCTTGGTCGAATGAAACCATTTCCTAACCGGCCCTCTGGAAACGGGATAAACTGTTTCACTAAGGACAATGCTCAGCTAGCATTTAAGAGGAGAACAAAAGGTTCTGTGTCTAGAATTACACAGGCTATCAACAAGCTAAGCTGCTAATTTACAAGCGCGGGTTTCGTGGGTTCTAACTCCCATCACCCGCCCGCCCGAAGCCGGGGACTAGATCCTGGAGGGTCTCGGAGGTTCCTGAAGGACTCTGGCGTTCAGGCTGGTTGGAGAAGGGACCATTTTTTGCTTGTTTGTTCCCTCTTAAGCCATGGAGTCTCCACGGAAGTAGAGGATTTCACCCTGATGTTTGTTTTTGTAACGGAACGAGGGATTTGCTGAGAGAGCTGAGCCGCCTCCCCGTATGCATTCAAGTCCTTTAAGCAAAACTTCTCCCTCCACCATCACCACCACCACGAATGCCCTTTAGGGTTGACAATCCCCTCTGTGAAACAATTCGCCATCAAGCCCTTTCTGTTTTCCTGACAATTCCAGTCACACAAAGAAATAAAATAAAGTAAAAATAAAAAAAATGTTCAAGTCCTTCTTACAAATAGGTTGCATCCAAGCTCCCCGCAGCTACTGAGGGCTAGCCCTGCCTCGCTGCCATGAGTCCACGGTGCTGGAAGGTGGTGTGGTTTTGGGTTTGGGGTTTGCAGAAGTCTCATCCACTCTTCTCCCTTTCAGATATGGCAGCTCACTCACTCTGTGGTCGCAGGCCACGCCTTCTGAGTTTTCAGCCAGGTTTTCACCCTTTTCACACACACCCCCCCCACACACACACACACATCCTCTCGGTATATCTGACGTGGGTTCCGGGTTCCCAACAAAGGACTTTTGGCATAAAAACATTTTAAAAAGCAAAACTGTCCCAAAATGCATGTGGCTCTGGGTCTGCAACTCCTCACACTTGCCTGTTCAGCCAGCCAGCGGCCAAGGTCAATGTCATGGAGTGTTTTGTGGGTTGTTGTGTATTTTTTTTTTTCTTTGTCCCCTTTAAAACAACAAAAGAAAAAAAAAAAGAAAAAAACAACCAGAGATGATGGCAAGGCTCTACACACGTGCTCGGTTTCCGTAGGACATGCTGCTATGGAAACGCAGGGTGCGCAGCCCTGGAGGTGAGACGCCCAGCATGCGAGGTCACGGCGTCCGGCAGCTACTCCATCGCGTCGTCTGGCCGCAAAGGGCGCGTGCGCGTCCGGTGGCCGGGGCCCAGGGCCCCCCAGCTCTCCACACGCCGACCGCCCTTCACAAGAGCACTTCCTCCTCCCCCACGAGGGGCGGGTCGGCCCCCGGGAGGCTGTCTTCGCTGCCGCGCTTCCTGCTCAGCAAACAGAAAACCAAGGTTAAGAGCGGGCAGTGCTGGCACAGCCCGGAACCAGCACCTCCGGGTCCTAAGTCATTTACACACACAACCTCCTCCTCTAGATTCTCTCCCCCTTTCTTCTCACTTAAGACACGATTTCCTTTTTCTTTTCTTTTTAAACTTAGTCCCAAGGGAAGAGCCTATTCCCAAACAGCTGAGCCCAGTTCCAAATTACGGAGCCCAGCCCCGAGGAGCCCAGACAAGCCCCCGAGAGCTGAGCCCACTCCCAAAGAGCCCGCCGAGCTCGCAGGGCCAAAGCTGGTCTCCAACAGCCTCGCCCAGTCCCGAAGGGCCTTAGAGACAATTTTCAAAGGAGACTGGACCCCCTCTGTAAATGGAAAACCAGCGTCATGTGCCAACAATAGCAAGGAACCATAAACATGCGTGCAAACCCGTGTGCATGACACCTAAAATCGCAGCACAGACAAGTACCGCCTGGGCCCCACTCCGCAGCATGTCCACTGAGGGTGTTGGCTATCTGGGCGCTCCTCCCCCTCGGCTATAGGCTCCTGCAGGGCAGGAACCGTGACACGTGTCTCCTGTCACCAGGTGAACTTCTTGGGGACAGTGAGGACCGCCTGGGCGTGGCCTGGCACACAGCCAGCCTTCGGGAACCAGCTGTCAAAAGAAAACCGCACTGCCGAAACCGGTTTGGCTCAGTGGGTAGAGCGTCGGCCTGCGGACTGAGGGGTCCCAGGTTCGATTCCGGGCAAGGGCATGTACCTTGGTTGTGAGCACATCCCAGTGCAGGAGGCAGCTGATCGATGTTTCTCTCTCATCAATGTTTCTAACTCTCTATCCCTCTCTCTTCTTCTCTGTAAAACGACAGTCTTGCACACAGACGGGAGGCAAACCCTAAATCAGATTGAGAAGAGAAAGCCCAGGAGGGACACACGGGAACCTGCGGCAGGGACCGAGGCAGCCCCACAGGCTGGTAACGCCTGGCTCTGCTTGCCAACTGCCGCTTTCGCCTTCCCAGAGAAGCATAAATAATCCCCACACAAAAGCATTCCTCCTGCACTACCATATAAGCCCCGACTTCTGTGTATGGGTGGCCAATGCATTCCATCTGAGCCAACTCCTAACAAAGAGCTGCCACTCGAATGCAAGAGCATTCATCGCAGCATTACTCATCCGCGGTGGCCAGACAGTGTTCGTCACCAGATGAACAGATAAGTAGAATGTGGCCTCTCCGTACAATGAGGTATTTCTCCACCATAAAAAGCACCGACACAGACGGACCTTGAAAACATGATGCTGAGTGAGAAAGTCGGACACAAAAGGCTACATACTGTGTGATTCCATTGTTACCCGTATCCAGAACAGGCAGACCCACGGGAGCCAAAAGTAGATTAGTGGCTGCCGGGGGCTGGAGGAGCTGGGCGGCTACACAACTCTGCGAGCACACTGCAGACCCCCTGGGCCCTGGCTGGGTGGCTCAGCTGGTTGGAGCATCGTCCCGATATGCCAAGGTTGCGGGTTCATTCCCTGGTCAGGCCACATACGAGGATAAACAATGAATGTGTAAATAAATGGAACAATACATTGGTCTCTCTTTCGCTCTCTCAAATTAAGTTAAAAAAAAAAAAAAAAATTTAAAAATAGCCTGGCCAGCATGGTACAGTGGTTGAGTGTCAACTTATGAACAAGGTCACCGTTCGATTCCTGCTCAGGGCACATGCCCAGGCTCGATCCCCAGTAGGGAGTGTGCAGGAGGCAGCCAATGGATGATTCCTTCTCATCACTGATGTTTCTCTCTCTCTCTCTCTCTCTCTCTCCCCTTCTCCCTTCCTGTCTGAAATCAATAAAAGTGTGTATATAAAAACAAAAACCATTGAAATACACACACTAAACGGGTGAATTGTATGGTATGTGAATTATAGGTCAATAAAGCTGCACTGAAACCACAGAAATGGCTGCATAGAGCTCCCAGTTGAGGTTGAGGGCCAGGCTCGGTGGGAAGAGCTGCGACCCTGCCAGGCCCTGGGGGTTGAGTGGCAGAAAAGGTGCCATTTGTCACGTCGGTCTTACAGGGACAGACATCCTCGCCTGTCCTAGGAGGTGCTAACACTGACCCGGGTTTGTGTTTGGAGGAGGGATGGCTCACACCCACCCGGGGGCAGAGGGCTCTTACACAGTTTTGCAGCAGGTGAGAAAGGGGACTTACTTCCTAGGTCTGAACCATCATAGAAAGGGCGGATGCTGGAGAGGCAGCAGGCAGAGCCACAGATGCAGCATGCCCGGTCAACCCAGAGAAGGGGGGGCCACAGGGCCCTGGGACAGAGCCCCGATGCCGCTGACAGGTCCTGTGCTGACTCACAGGACCCGAGTGAATCCACGGGCATTCCGGGCGGAGCGCCATGCACCTGCAGCCCAGCTTACATGCATGCCTGCCGTTGGGTCCAAGCCGCTGGCACCCTCCTTTTCAGCCTGGGTCCAGAGGCCCACGGTGAGCCTGGGTGCAGCAGGAAGGTGTGTCCGCCGCCCACCAGGGTGGGGGTGCCGTGCTCTGCAGCTGCCCCCGCCCCCTGGCCCCGGCAGAGGCTACTGCGCAGGCAGGCAGGCAGGCAGGCAGGCTTTACCTTGGACTCAGACAGGGGTTCCCATTCCCTGGTTGGTTTTTTGCTGGAACCGCCAGAGGGGAGGGAAAAGGGAAGTGAGAAGGGACAGGTGGGGTCCGTGGGAAGCCCGTCCCCCACCCCTGGGACACTCAGACCCCAAAGACCAGCTTCGCAGAGCTGTTGCCAGGGCGATGATGAGGACACTGCTCTGCAGAGACACAAAGGGTCCTTCTCAAGGGGGACACTGGCTTGCTCGCCCAGCACAGGGCTGGATACGCCTGCTTCTGGGCCACAAAAGTGCTTTCTGATGGGCAGGAGCTCTCCAGGTGAAGAGAAACTCCCCTGAGAAAGGTACAACTTCCGGGTGGGTTCGCTCTGAGCACAAGGAGGCCGGCTGAGCCAGGGTGCCCGGGCGGCTGTGGCCTCCCCAGCGTGCCCGGGGCTTTGCTGCCTTTGGCCCCAGCTGCCCCCTGCGGGGAGGCAGGCAGACACTCACCTGAGCAGGTTTCCGGGCGCCGACAGCGAGCGTTCCTCCCGCCGGCTGCAGTCGAACGGGTTCCCGAAGGAGCGTTTTCGAATCATGGTCTTCACCAGGATCTGCAGGGGAGAAGCGGAGGCTCAGCCACCAGGAGGTGGGAGTCCAGTAACACCCTCCCTCACGCCAACCCCCTTGCCCACCGTTCTCCCCCAGCTCCCTGTCGGCTCCCGGGGCTTGTGGCCTTTGGGAGACGCTGGGCGGCATGTGGGGTACAGCGGCCAAAGCCATCGCCAATTCTGATGGGTTCACTCCCAACACCTCCCATGGCTCCCTGGCTGCCAACGAGATAAGGTCCCAACTCCTTGGTCTGATGTTGAAGTCAGGTCACAATCGAGTCGTGGCCTGCCCACCCGCCGGGACCCTGTGCTCCAGGAGAGCTGGCCTGCCCCGGGGACTGACTGTGCCCTCCCGGCTCAGCGACCTGCCTCGTCTGCAAGGCCAGGCCTCTACATTCGGTGACCACGCCTACATCTAAGACCACACCTATGAAACCCAACTATTGATTTCCAAGAATAAGGGGGCTGCGCTTTTTAAAAATTAAAAATATAATTCCCACAGCATAAAACTTGCCATTTTATAGGGTACAATTCCACAGTGTTCAGTATGTTTGTATCGCCACTCTATGATTTCAGAACATTTCCATCACCCCACAAGGAAACCCTGTCCCTGTGAGCAGTCACTCCCCACATCCTCGGCCTCCCAGTCCCTGGCATACAGCAATCTGCTCTGTCTCTGAACGTGTCTCTTCTGGACATTTCAGGTAAAAGGAACAACACAGCATGTGACTTTTTGTGTCTGGTTTCTTTCTCTCGGCATAATGTTTTTGAGGTTTATAATATGCTGTATCAGCATTCTATTCCTTTTCATGGCTGAATAATATTCCTTTGCATGTACATACATTTTCTTTAGTAATTCGATTGGTGGACATTTCAGCTGTTTCTAATTTCCAGCTGTCTACATTAAAAGAGAAAGATGCAAATTGACCGTACCTTCGCGATGCCCACCAGCCAATCAGGAGTGAGTATGCAAATTAACCCAACAAAGATGGCGGGTTAATTTGTATATGCAGGCGCTGAGCGGCCATGGTGACGACACAGGTGTCCCACACGGCCCTAGCCGCTCCGGGTTTCTGGGCAGCATGGGAAGGCGGAAAAGGTGGCTCCAGGCTAGAGCAAATGTGGTGCCAGAAGCCAGGGGAAGGAAAGCCCATTCTTGCATGAATCTTCGTGCATTGGGCCTCTAGCTATGAACAATGCTGCTAGGAACACGTGTCCAAGTTTTTGTGTGGACATGTTTTTCCACACAAAATGTTTTCGTTTCTCTTGGGTGTAGACCCAGGAATGAAATTCTTGGATCACATGGTAACTAGGTTTCATGTTTTGAGGAACTGCCAGGTTGTTTTTCAGAGTGATTTTTACTATCGTATATCCCCAACTGGCAACATGCAAGGATGCCCTTTCCTCAGGGGATTGCGTGTTAGGCGAGGAGACACGCCTGCCCAAGTGTTAAGCACCAAGAAAACATCCGCCAAGTCCATTCTCCTCCTGGTGGCCTTCTCAACCCACCCCCTGGCCCACGTCCTCCCTTAGGCATACATCTCGAGGCCCCTCAGTTACACAGCACATCTATTTGTTGGTTGTGTGCCCCTACAGGATGGCAGGTGCCATGTTGCTTTTATTCGTCACGGTACCCCTGCTCCCAGCCCAGGCCTGAGAAACCACTCAAGTGCTTCCTGAAGAGTCAAGGACCAGTTCAGACTCAGGGGCAGACACCTACTCCCAAGAACATCCCAAGCCGGGAACAGAATCACCCATGGTGGGCACCGGGACCTGACGCCAGGCGCCTGCCTCACTATGGGCATCGGGTGGGTGCAGTGGGTGGATGAGAAAGAAAGAGTGGGCGTGGGTGAGTTTTTAACAGTGAAGGTCATGCAGAGGCTCCAGGGGAGGGGAGGAGGAGGAAGATGTGAATGGATGCCCGCTAAGGGGCTCAGGATTTGGGAGAAGGCGAGAGAAAGTGTGTGAGGAAGCAGGGGGGAGAGGTGCAAAGCTGGAGAGAAGGAGCCAGCGTTTGGGCTCCTACAGGGGCAGTCACTCGAGGCCCCTCCCGGAGTCCAGGGCCCTGCCTGTCTACCGGAGCCGGTGCTGGCCAAACGCAGCCCACGGTTTTGGAGGTGGCCATGGTGGGTGGCCAGCTGGGCTCTGTCACAGGACTGCTGCCTGGATCCAGGTCCCCGAGGGTCCCGGTCTCCCACCTGGAGCCAGGCACCCTGATGGGTAGGGTGACTCCCAGAGTCTCCGGGGTTGAGCCTGAGGACTCCACATTCTGGCTCCGCCTTCCTGGGTTAGGACACAAGTGTGAGGCCATAAAAGGGGCTGGAGACTCGGGTTTCCCCACCCTCCTGAGTCGGGAAGAATTTTCTGCAGTGTGGGAAGCGGGAGCCCCTCTGCTAGCCGGGAGCTGCACACAAGCAGACGTGAGATGAGCTAAGCCAGTGGTTGGCAAACGCATTAGCCAACACAACCAAACATCCACAGTACGACGACTGAAATTTCTTTTGAGAGCCCAATGTTTTAAACTTAAAATTCTTCGAATGCCACTTCTTCAAAATAGACTCGCCCAGGCCGTGGTATTTTGTAGAAGAGCCACACTCAAGGGGCCCAAGAGTCGCAGTTTGCCAACCACGTAGCTAAGCCATTAGCTCTGGAGACTGGAGAGGCACCAGGTGAAAATCCTGGCCCATAACCTCAGCCCCAGCTCCATCCCTGGCACCTGCCCTGGTCTTCCTTCTCCTGTTCCCAACATGCTCTGAAAGCAGGAATTCTAGGAGGGGCAGTGGAATCCTGGGAGGGGGGCTACCCCTCTCTATGGTACATGGGGATGGTACATGGGGACGGTACATGGGGACGTGGCTGCAGACAGAACCGAGGCCAGGAGATACGGGCCCCTGGCCTGATGTGCGCCCGAGGCCCAGAGGCTGGTGGCAGTGTGTTTGGAGCAGAGCCAGCCATCCCCATCCCCTGACGTTCGGGCCCAGCGTCTGCTTCTCAGACGCCTGCCTGTGTCTCAGCCTGTCCTGGCAGGGTCCACCTCCGGCCCCAGTGACTCTCTGTCCCTGCTCTCGGTCAGTGGTTCGTCCCGCCTTACCACGGTCGCCAGGCTGGGAATGTGTTTGACCGAATTCTCGACCTCCTCTTCGGTCACCTCGACCAGCGTGCAGTTCTCGTCCTCCGACGGCAACGGCTCCGCCCCGTGCCTCGTGACCCAGGGGTGCAGCTTCAACGAATGACAGGAGGGGTGAGGGCTGGCTCCCGGAGGCGGGACAGTGGAGCCAGGGAAGGGGTGCACGAGGGGAGAGGCAGTGGCCGGAGGCCAGACATGCAAGAAAGCGGGTAAGCCAAGCAGAGGGTGCAGGGAGCGAGATGGTGGGAAGCGCGGAAGAGACGAGGGACAGAGAATGGGAGGGAGGTGTGCACGGACCGGATTTTCCATCTGGCCCCAGGTCTTGGCAGAAGCGACTACCGTTTGGCATCTGCCACCCGCAGTTGCCCGAGGAGCACTCATCCGCTCCTCAGCATCTCTTCCTGACGCCTGGGAAGCTCAGCTCCGAGCAGGCAGCATCCTCCCCATTGCACAGAAGGACACACAGAGGCTCGGGGAGGCACAATGACCACAGACCAGCTGGAAGGGCACAACACAGAGAGGACCCAGGCAGGGGCCTGGCCCCTCCAACACACCCCCAGGGTCTAAGCCCTCATCGGTTACCTTTTGGGCTTCCCCTTCTTCAAATGCTAGTTAGCTAGGTGCACAGGGGTTCCCGAAGCAAATCTGCAGATTTCCTAACGAGCCAGGTGTGCGCGTGTGGCCTTGGCTGGGGTGTTGGGGGTAAGTGTATATGGGTGGGGGGTGTCTCCTAACAGTGCTTTCTGGAACAGGGTGGAATTCAGCAGGCCAGGGTGGAGAAGGGGGGGCTTTAAACTGTTCACTAACTTCCTCCCACCCTCCCTGCAATTTCTCACAAAAGGATGGGCAAGGTCAAGGAAAGGGCCCAGGCCTTTGGCAGCCGGGGTGTGGAGCACAAAGAGGCCCCAGTCGGTCGGTCGGGTCCGGGGAGGGTGAATGCCATCAGCCCAAGCCAATGGGAGTGCTAGCTGCTCAGCGGGCAGCAGGTCCCACTTACACAGTCACATCAACACAAGCCCCCAATCCTCCTCCTCCCGCGCAGGGCGGGGCAGGGCAGCGGTGCCAAGGAGGGCGTGACGCTGTGGATGTGAGGCGAGGGGCCTGGCCAAGGCGGGGTTGAGCCACACAATTCCAAGCAGAGGACGACGCAGGCCAAGCCGCCGGCACGCAGGACGCGGGTACCTTGATCTCGGGCACCATGATCCTCGACTCGGGGTTCTTATCCAGCATGCGGGTGATCAGGTCCTTCAGGTCCTCGGCTATGTCGGGCCTGCGGGCGAGAGACACATCAGAAGTCCCGAGAGTCAGACACGCGGGACCCCTCGGGGCTCGGGGCGGGAGGCGAGGCAGGGCGGCTGGGCGGTACTCACTGGTCTGGGAACTCCAGGGCCTGGCTCTTGATCTTACTGTGCAAACACATGATCCGCTCGTCCATGAACGGGCACTGCGGAGAGAGGCCCGAGCGGCCGTCAGTCGCCTGCACGCCGGACCCGCAAAGGCCGCCGGCCCTGGCATTGCTCCGCGTGGGCCGCCACAGAGAAATAAAACAGCCCAGCGGCCTGATCTAGGGAAGGACCGTTCCCCTCACACTCCTCCTCACCCACCTCCTCGGAGAGCAAGGATAACTCCAACAACAACTCAGGAGTTGTCACGGTAACAGCAGGGGCTGGCCGGGGCTTAGTCCGGGCCAGGCTCTGTGCTGGTTTCCCAAGAGCAACATCTCATTGGCTGTTCCCTCTGCCTGGAATGCTCTCCCCACCAACACCGGCCTGGCTTGTTTTCTACCATGTTTCCGGTGTCAGATCCACGGGCACCTTCTCTGGGAGGCCTTCCTGAGCTCCTGTCTGAAGCAGACAACCCCCCCTCCCACCTCCACCTTCTCATCACAGCACCTGTCCCTGGCATTTTAGTGTGTGTGTGTGTGTGTGTGTGTGTGTGTGTGTGTGTGTTGTCTAACTCCTGCTCTGGAACATCAGCTCCAAGAGGCCTGTCTTACTCACTGCTGTCTCCCCACTGCCCAGGAACATGCATGGCACCGAGCAAGTTGAATAAGTACGGGTTGAATGAATGAGTACTTGAATGGTTTCTATCAACCCTCTCGGGAGCCATAAGGAATGGTAAGTATTGTTCTCATTTGATAGTAGAGAAAAATAGGAACTAGAGAGGCGCCAGGTCCTGCCTGGCGAGCACAAAGCTGGGATGTAAGCCCAGACGAGGCTGATCCCAAGGCCCATTCATGCACCACCTGCCGGTGACCAAGCCATGCTCTCACCCAGCGAACAGAGGGCCTGACCCAGGAGCCCAGGAAAAAGCAACCATATGACAGTGCTTAGAAGGTTGGGGAAAGTCTCGGGAAGTGGCCTGGTCCACTCCTGTCCAGGGAAAATGAGCTCATTAATAGCACTAACCCGAGATAGAAGTTTGGATTATGCTGGTGTATATTTGATAAGCTCCTTAATTAGTATACTTAAGATCTGTACATTTCATTGTATGTAAATTTTACCAAAAAAGGGGAGGAGGAGAAGCACCAATAAACAGTGAGCTCTACCTAATGATCGCACCCTGAAACATTCACAAGTGTAGAGATGTTGGTAACTTTGAGATATGTAAAAAAAAAAAAAATTAGACAGACTGAGGATAGACAGACAGGTGATTCAACAAGATTCTTTTTGGTAGAATCCAGATGGCGGCTGCAAGGGTGTTTACTGTACAATTCTTTCAACTTCGCTATGGGATTAAAACTTTCTGATTACATGTGGGGGTAAAGGGAGGAGATGACAAACTCCTTTATGTCCTCACAGGACCAGTTTTTTAAGTTTTCCTCACGAACTCAGGAAGCACAAACTCACGGAGACGGAAAATCCATGCTTTCACGGCTCACATAATCAACCTGAACTTCAGAGTTAAAAACAGAAGCCCCAACCCTAGCTGGTGTGGCTCAGTGGGTTGAGCGTCATTCTGTGCACCAGAAGGTTGCCGGTTTGGCTGCCAGTTCGATTCCCAGTCAAGGCATGTGCTTAGGTTGTAGGCCTGATTCCTAGTCAGGATTTGTCAGGAGACAGCTGATCAATGTTTCTCTCTCACATTAATGTTTCTTTTTCTCTCTAGAAATCAATAAAACATATTTTTAAAAACAGAAGCCCCTAAATGTTAATACTATTTAAAAAGGACAAAAAAGAAAAAACAGTATTCCCTAAATTAAAAATGCCAAGTGGATTTTAACTTCCACTCCAATCCTACGCTTCCCACAAACAGCTTCTAGGAACACTGCCGAGAACATCAAAGCAGTATGGGGCTCGGGAGAAAAAGTGCAGTTACTGATTAGTGATGTCTGTCTCGGCTTTGGAGTGGGGAGAGGGCAACATTTGCTGTCCTTGCCCTAAATCTATCAATTACTTACAACCTCTAAGAGCCTCTGCCAATCCTTCTGTTTTAAAAGATCATGTTTTCACATATATGACTATCATATGCAGATAATGTACATTTGGGAAGGCATCCTTTCTCATATTCAGATCTAACTGTGGAAATAAAAATCAGCCACACTCAGGAGGCAAGACACCCCCACCCTGTTACCTGGCCAAACACAAAGCAGTAGAGTGTCACACCCATGGCCCAAACATCCAAGGCCTGCAAGAAAAGAAAAAAAAAAAAAGGAGTGTAGGGTAAGGGGACGACGGTGGTGAAGGGCATCTACCCCTTTGCCTGTCCGGCCTCATCTCCTCCAACTTTCCTTTGGGGAAACCATTTCTCCTGGATCCAGGCTATGGAGTTGAGGTGGGGTTGCTCCTGCCCCCAGCCTCTGGGTAGGCACATGACCCAGGACTGACCAATGAGAGCACCACTTCCCCCAGCCAATGAGTGGGCCAAGGATAGGCACATGACCCAGGACTGACCACTGAGAGCATCACTTCCCCCAGCCAGTGATTGGGTCAAGGATGGGCACATGACCCATGCTGGGCCAATCAGAGCCAGTTTCAGGATTTTTGTAAGAGCTCTTCCGGAAGACCAACAGTCTTTCTACTGAGGCTGGTAAACTGATAGCAAGAAGCCTGGAGCTGCTGATGGCCAACCCACCTGGGGAGGAAACCAATTCAGGAAAGCAGACCTAAGATGGAGAGATGGATCCCTACTTGAATCTCTGGATCTCTAAACCACCTCCCGAAGCCAAATGCACCTGCTCATCTCCATGATTTAATAGATTCAGCCACCATGAGTTGGATTTTTTTGCCCCTTATAACTGAGGGAAAGGGACGCAGGCAGAACTCAGCATCTCTGGCAGGTCCAAACCCACCTTCCCGGAGAAGATTTTCCGGGTCTCGGAGAGCGACTCGGGCGCCATGAAGGCCGGTGTGCCCACCGTGTTGGACAGCAGCGCGTCGCTGCCCTTGAACTCGTTGCTCACGCCGAAGTCTGCAATCTTAATGTGCCCGTCTTCTCCCACCAAGAGGTTGGAAGGCTTGATGTCCCGGTGGATGATCTTCTGGTAATGTACTGAAAGCGGACAGACATCAGACGGGAGCGAGCGGGGCAGAAAACCACGTGAGGAGTTCCACGTGGCCCACACAGCCCAGAGGCGGAGACAGGCTGGACCCTCCCACAGCTCCGTCCTCTGCCCATCCTCCCCTCTCCGAGGTCTGCGGGACACTCACGGCGCTGAGAGATAAAGGGAAAGGAGGACCTCCATGTCCTTCCCTCCGTCCTCAGAGAGGAGGAGGGAAACGCCAGCCGCTGACAGCGATTAGGAACTAAGTCGCCCAGGGACGGAGCATGGAGAGTTTTTGTGGAGCGTGGCTCCCAGCTTCAAGACTCAAGATTTGTGACAGTCGGATATGTTTCCATTTACTCGGCTGACACGGTCTACACTCAACCTGCTCGTCAGACCAGCAAGGACCAGGACAGGTCGATTTGAAGTGTGAACCATGAAGCAAGACTTGGCTAACTGCTCCTGCCCAGATGTTGGCCCACAGGGGAGGCCAATCCTATAGTCTGCAAGACCCAACTGCATTTCTGTGGTGTGGGATGGGGATGACGACGATGATGTGGGGGTAGGAGGAGCAGCTTCCTATGTTGAATGTCCAGTCTGGGGCCTAGACCTGTGTTCACTACTTCCCGCTTACACAATCCTAACGTGACGGGGGCATGGGTAAGAGTCAAAATGTTTAACAATCAGAATCAGAAAACACCAGCCCATCAGAACTACTGATGTGCACTGGCTGATGGCAGCCCTGATGAGAGACACTTTATTCCCATTTTACAGATGAGAAAACTAAGGTTCCGGGAGATAAACAGGATCCTCCCACCCCCACCCCCACCACCCCCCATCAGAGCATCAGGGACAATACAAGTAGAGTCCCCAAGAGGACACTCTGGCCATTGCTCCTAATTTCCTCGTGTGGCAGGTACGGGTTCTCTGCAGCTCCCCCTGACTCTGCATCTCCTCACACAGTTCTGCTTCCCGCCCACCTCCTCGAGCTCGAGGAGAAAATTAAGAAACTCCCCGTTTCCTGCCCACCCCCGGGAGAGACTCCTCTCACAGGCCCCGCTTACAGTACTCGATGCCTTTGATCAGGTCCTGGAAGTAGAAACGGGCCTGGTCTTCAGAGAGCGGCTTGAGGGTGGGCACCTCCATCACAGGCCTGAAAGGTCGACACATGCGTGAGAGGCAACACCGACACCCGGCCTTCGCGCTCTCACTGCCGAGCCCAGCGTCGCCGCGGCAGCGGCCCGGCCAGGGCTGGGGACACTCACCCTTGGTTGACCAGTTCAAACACTGCAGGGAAGAGAAGGGGGAAATGGTTACATTGGAAACAGGAAATCCATCTTCCTCGCCATCAGCCTCTCCTCCCAACCGCCCCTACAAGCACCAAGAAGCACGGAAACGAGCAGTGGGACTGGAGCAAGAAGGAGTCCACTAAACCAAGCTGCTCCATGTCCTCCTTCTCTTAAGTCCCATCAGGAGGCAAAGGGTCAGAGGTTTCGGATGTCCCTAGGACCCCAACCTGGCTGTACCCTCAAATACCCCTCAAGTACCCCGAGAAAGCAAAGCAGGGTGACAGGAGACAGGCCGGGTTACAGGGATATGGCTGATGCTAAACTCTGTCAGTCTAAAGGCACCCAACCCCAATGTCGATTTACTTCAGCCCAAAGAATAGCCCCAGGGGTCTTAAAAACTCTAGGAATGAAACTAGCATGAACAGGTTTCAACAGCCCCTCCCCAGTTCAAGCTGCTGGGCCGTGGCCGGTTACAGACCAAGAACAGTTGGTAATGTTGCGCCAACTCAACACTCTGGGCAGACGGCCCTCGGACCCTTCCTGACTCTCAATTCAAACCAAGGCCTCGAGCTGCCTCACGGAGCCCTTCTGCACGCACTCACATGGGACACGCACAGGCTGCCCCCGTGCCAGCCCTGTGTGTGCGGAAACTGCCCCTGGCAACTATCATCTGCGTGGTCTCCATGGATTTGCCTATTCTGGACATTTCCAATGTAGGGGGTCCTACAACACGGACTCTTTGTGCCTGGCTTTTTCACTCAACACAATGCTTTCATCCATGCTGTAACATTTATCACTGCTTGGTTACTTTTCGTGGCTGCATACTATTCCACTGTGTTTTGCTTATCCATTCATCAGCTGACGGACATTTGGGTTGCGTCTCCTCTTTGGCTGTTGTGAACAATGCTGCTGTGAACATTCATGTGCAAGTATTTCTACCGATAACTACTCTCAATGCTTTTGAGTATGTACCCTGGAATTACTGAGTGACGTGGCATAATTATTTTAGTTTTGTTCTGCTTGGACAAACAGAACTGGGAATATGACGCCGTACTTTAGGAAGTGAACACGTAGCATAGTGAGTTTCAAAATCAAGTAGAGATGGAACTGTCTGTGGTTCTAGAATCATCTACCCACGTTGGAGTCAACGCATGGAAGAAACCAGAACGTTTTTTCCGAAGCTGCTCTCCAAGGGCTGAGGTGCCGAGGAGGAAGAGCCTAAGCCTCAGACAAGAACAAGGCTTTAATGTTCCACCCAGAAAAGGAACGTGCCTCCCCCAGGGCCCCTTCCTATCTTTAAGTTCATCAACCGGCATTGAGCAAGACAGAGGCAGGGCAGACCCGCCCCGGCTTCAGACTAAGCCGAGGCCGCAGCATGGAAAGCAAAGCCACAGACAGGAGCGCAGGTCCCTCAGCGCTGGCCTTTCCTGCCTCGGTTACGTAAGTCTCAACTCCCAAGAACTGCCTCGTGAGTTCCTGCGCCTCCTCCCTCCCACCCAAGCACCATAAATCAGCTGGCGTGGGGGAAGCTGGCCTGCCGAAACAGGTCTATTTTCAGTCGCTCAGTTTAACCACGCTTGCAGCCCAGCAGTGGGCGGGACCGTTCTAATCTCTAGAAATGCTGGTCATGTTCTCCTCCCTTTGGGGTCAGGCCCGCAGCCGCAGCCGCAGGACCCTGGCTGATACCTCCTATGGGCTCACGGGTTATCCTGGAAAGATTTCCAAAACTGCCGGAGTCAAATCCCAAAGGTCAGCCTGGCTCCTGTCACACCACCACCTTAACCAGTGAGAAACATCCGGCTGGTGCAGCTCAGTGGTTGAGCATCAACCTAGAATAGGAACCAGGAGCTTAGGGTTCCATTCCCTGTCAGGGCTCAGCCTAGCTGTGGGCTCGATGCTTAGGCTGCAGGCTTGATCCCCAGTGTGGGGCGTGCAGGAGGTAGCCGATCAATGGTTCTCTCTCATCACTGATGCTTCTCTCTCTCTCCCTCTCCCTTCTATGAAATCAATAAAAAAATTTATATATTTTTTAAAAATGAAAAACCCTATCTGCACCACTCTTGTGAATGCCTACCCAAGCCAAACATTATCTGGACAGGTGACCAGTCAATCACCTATTCAGGGGCCCAACAGCCTGCTGTTCAGTTTCGAACAATCCTGCCCTTCTTTCCTTCATCAGCCTTTACGCTGGGGGCTGCCCAATGTCCTCACCATTTTTTTTTTTTTTAAAATGAGGCTTCTGAAGACACGCCCAAGTCCTTCCATCTCCATGTGCAGTGCCCAGGCCCTCTGTGCCCCTCGCCCCCAAGGCTCCAAATGCCCCACCAGGGCCTCCCACACCCTTCACCCTCAACCCCACCTCTTCTCTCCGGTTTACTCTGCCCCCGCCGCATTTCTGTGCAGACACACAAAGCTCCCGCCAGCCTTTGCACCTCCTGCTCCCTTTTCCCGGAATGCTCTTCCCCAGATGCAACAGGACTGTGTGCTGGACAGTCAGGTGCTTCCTGGTTAGCTCCTATCAGAAGCGGCCCTCCATCTTTCCCTCCCATCACCCTGTTTAACCTTCAGAGCATCTGTGTCAGTGGATTATCTGGCTTATTTAGGGGTTGGCTGTCACCCCCAAGTAGAATGTCAGCTTCCTCCTCATGTAGGAAAGAATGTCATCTTTCCTACTCATCACGGCATCCTTCGTGCCTAGAACAGTACCCAGCGTATAGTAGTTTCTCAATAAACATTTGCGAGTGAGTGAATAGGACATGCAGATAAAGAAAGTCCCAGCAAGAACTGCCTTCCCCCTCTTGCTTCAAACTGTGGGGCCCGGCTGAAATGGGAAAGGAGAAGCAGTCCTTGGAGGGAGAAGACAGGGCCAGGGGCTGCCTCCAGAGTCTGCCGGGCCTTTGGCAGTCACAGCCGCCTGAGCAAGGGTGGCAGAAGGCAAGGGATCGAGTCTTACCCATATACAGATGGTCCTCGTTGGGGTCATCCAGGACCTGTTGGCACAGCCACATGGAGCAGGCGGAGACAGGAGCAGGGAGAGGGAGAGAGAAGAAAGAGATGAATGGGGAGGAAGCAGCATCCGGCATCCGACACGACCACAAGGGTCCAAACTCTCCAGGGTCCGAAACGCCCAGAGCGGTTTCCAAAGGGAGGGGCCAAATTCCTCCCTGAGAAACGTCTCAGGTTGAAATAAGAGCCCCACCTGTCTCCTAGGAGACAACTAAATGGGTCCTCAAGGTGAAAATGCAAATCCTGCCCCCCTTCTCCCCAGCCCCGGCAGGACACGCTGCCTCCCAGCGTGGACTTTCTCTCTCTCCTTCTCTCATGGCCTCTGCTTCCCCCTGATCACTATGGCCACCTTTTCAGAAACCACATGACACGTGCTATCACAACAGGTTGAAAGTAGGAGCAGATACCAGAATCCAGTCGTCATCTCGTAAGCCAGACATCAACTACAACAAAAATTTGCAAAAATGTAAAACTATGCCCGGCCCATGGGGCTCAGTGGTTGAGTATCAACCTATGAGCCAGGGGATTACAGTTGATTCCTGGTCAGGGCACATGCCCAGGTTGTGGGCTTGATCCCCAATAGGGGGTGCACAGGAGGCAGCCAATCAATGATTCTCACCGCTGATGTTTCTATCTCTATTTCCCTTTCTTCCTCTCTGAAATATATATATATATATATATTTTTTTTTTTTTTTTTTTTAAGTAAAATTATATTGCCGAAACCGCTTTGGCTCAGTGGATGGAGGGTTGGCCTGCAGACTGAAGGGTCTTAGGTTCGATTCCGGTCAAGGGCATGTACCTTGGTTGTGGGCGCATCCCCCGTGGGGGGTGTGCAAGAGGCAGCTGATCGATGGTTCTCTCTCATCGATGTTTCTAACTCTCTATCCTTCTCTCTTCCTCTTTGTAAAAAATCAATAAAATATATATTTTTTTAAAAAGTAAAATTATGCCTCTCTTCTAACTCAATTTTTTTGTTCAAATAATATAGTTATTATTCATAAAAAGATATCACTTACATTAATATGAAGTATGATTCTTGTTCTAAATAAATAACTTTAGATTTCTCAGTTTTAAATTAGAATGTGGTGAATATTAGTAAATATTACCCACATAAGAAAAAAAAAAAATTGGGTGTTCTCCAATTTTTAAGAGCATAAACTAGTCCTGAAACCAAAGTGATATAACTGCTGGCCTGGAGCCAGGGCTGGTGAACTCCAGTGTACAGCCAAGTCCTGTCCACCGCCTGTTTTTGTAAGTAAAGTAATGTTGGAACACAGCCATACCGTTTGTTGACATGTGTGTGGCTGCTTTTGTGCTACAACTACACATACATGCAGTAGAAAAAGAACCACCTCCAACATGACAGAAATGAGTGAAGGGCAAGCCTGAGAATCTATCTGAGCCTCAATTTCTTCATCTGTTAAATGGGAGCAACAGTCTTAGGAGGGTTAAGGGCTGCATGAAGTAACAGAGGTAATAATTACTACTCAGCCCTGCGATAAGCTATCAGCGGTGGCGTGGCTCTCCCCGGAAAATACCGATGTGTCAACAGAGCCAGACCTCCTTGGTGTCTTTCCCTGCCCCCGCCTCACCTCCACCAGCTTCACCACGTTGGGGTGGTCCAGCTTCTTGAGGATGGCAATTTCCTGGTACACCTGCTCAATGGGGCCCCTGGGCTGGATGCAGCCCCCGGGGGTTGGCCGGGCGCCTCGGGGCGGAGGGCGACCTGAAGAAGACACATACCAGCTCAGGGACAGGGTTGGAGTGACTGACGCCACCAGGGGCTTCACACGGCCTCCTCCTCATCTGTTTCTTCTGCAGCTGGAAACCAGCAGGGCTGGAACCACGGTCCTGTTGCTCAGCTTTCTGTGAACGCCCCCCCCCCTCCCCATCCCAGGCTCCAGGGAGAGGCAGGAGTCCACTGAGAGGTGGAGAGGAGAAGGCTGGAGTCTGGCGTGGCAATCTCAACGTGTCAGGGTGAGTCCATCCCTGCTCCTCAAAGCATTACCTCTCATCTCCTTAACTCTTGAAATATCAGAGACAGAAAATGAAGCCAGAAATAGGAAAAGATGTAAGAGCCGATGAGACAAAACACAAAAACAAAAGATGATGCCATGTGCTCGCTTTGGCAACACATAACTAAAACTGGAACGAGGCAGAGATTAGCATGGCCCCTGTGCAAGGATGACACGCAAATTCGTGAAGCGTTCCATATTTTTTAGGGGGGGGGGGGGGAGATGATGCCACAAAGGCAGGCGGAGTTCATCGCTTGGCCCTGCGGTGACTGACAGACAAAAGGCCACAGTGATGGAAAGAGCCACGGTTGGAACTCATCATGTTGCGCACCCTCTGTACGCCAGCATCTAAGCGTGAGTCACAGAACCAGACCCAGACGTGACCGTGTGTGGAAAAGTGGAAGCAAGGTACAGGGGTCAGAAGTGGGGTGTGAAGAGGAGTGCGAAGGGAAAGGGAGGGAGGGAAGGCACTAACTCTTCTTACAAAGCAAGGAGTCAGGAAGCACTGGCTACACCTGTTGGAACTGGAGGGAAGTGGCAAACGTAGTTAACCAGAGAGGAGCTAAACATTGCACTGGCTGGTTGGGAAAGGGAGGTTAGAATGTACTTCAGAGGAAATCAGAGGTAGATGTCAAAAATAAATCGGCCTAGTGGTTCCGTGGTTAGAGCTTTGGTCTAAGCACCAAAGGGTGGTCTCTGGTTCAGTTCCCAGTCAAGGGCATGTACCTGGGTGTCAGCCCAGGGCACCCTCTGTAGGGGACACCATTCATTGGACTTTCTCTGTGCAGCCCCAACCCCTGTACCCAAGAGAAAAGCCCGAACTCACGTGGAAAGCCCGCCTGTCGGATCAGCTTCTTTTTGGATAGCACCTTCATCGCCTGCGGGAGAAGAGACCCCAGGTCCGGTTAAAGCACAGAGGAGCACGGCCGGAGAGTCCCCTCCTCGCACAGGCTTGCCCGAGCTCTTGGCTCCATGGCTGTCCTGGGGACGATGCTGTGACCAGAGGGGGTCAAGCAGCAGCAGGTTCTATGGAGGTTGGGCCCCCAGGGTCCCTCCAGCCCTGAGGGTGCCTCCAGGGTTCCAGGTCAGCTGCCCCGGCGAGGGCTTCCCTGCTACTGAACGAGACATGAGTGAGCTGGGGCGATGGGGCAGGACTGGCTGGGTTACACGTGGAAAAAGTGCGGGTTAGCAGTTATGCCGCTTGCTCAAGGTCACACAAGTTGGCACCTGAGAGAGGCAGGATTTGAACCCAGATTGGACTGACTCCAGAGCCTCAGCTGCAAGGGCTGTTTGGCTCACTACCTCTTGGTTCTTAGGGCTCTGGAGGATGTAGAAATGGCAGCCCAGAGTAAGGATATGAGATGTCTGCTGACTTCATTCATTCATGCATTCATTCATTCTTCCTAAGCCATCCCTTCACCTCCCTATGTCCCCATCTGTAAAACAGAAATACCACTTCCTTCCTAATGCACAAAATACACATGACCTAATAATAAAATGACACAACAGCTAAGAAAACCTTCCAGGAAGCTGAGCGCTGAAAATGAGGTCTTGTCCTAGCATGTTTGGCTCAGTGGATAGAGCACTGGACCACAGACTGAAGGGTCCCAGGTTCAATCCTGGTCAAGGGCAAAAACCTCCATCGAAGGTTCCATTTCCAGCTCTGGTCGGGGCGCATGTGGAAAGCAACCAATCGATCTGTCTCTATCACATTGATGTTTCTCTCTCTGTCTCTCTCCTCCCTTCTACTCTCTCTCTAAAAAGTCAACGGAAAAATATCCTCTTGTGAAGATTAACAAAGAAAACAAACAACAAGAAAAGAAAAGGAGGGCTTTGTCTTTGGACAAGGATGGGGGTGGAGAGGGATGTGGATACTCACATAGTAGGTGTTGTCATTTTCATTGTAGGCCAACTTGACCACGCCATAGGAGCCCTGGATAATGGGAGATGGCCATGACATATACAATAAAAAAATTATGACCTGCCAAATCTCCCCCGCCATTGCATTTTGTTGGGTCTAATAGTTTTTAGGAAGTTTGAATTAGTTGCCAAGACAGAAAGACTGGATATAAGAACCTAGGTTCCCAGCCTCAGACGGTCTGGCCGTATGAAGACAATGATCACTTCCATGTGTTAGTTTGCCACAGACCTCACCACTCCCTGCTGCCATACCCAGCATGCTCTGCTCATTTCTATTAGCGCTCTGTTGGCATGTGAGCTTTTTCAAAATCTATCTTTGTTGTAGAAAGTATTACAGATGTCCCTACTGACCCCTTCTAGGGGCGTGTGAGTTTTGACCCCTGTAACGATACTGCCCAGTGGCTGACACAAAAGCAAAAACAGATGCGAGAGTACTTAGGGGAGAATAGATCAACACTACTATGGGGATGACATAACTACCACCATTGTGATGTGGGATTTCTCGGGACACTTTCTGTGCTTTTGCAGAAACACATTAGTATGATGATATAAAAACAAATAAGACCAGGAATCCCAAAACCTTGACCTCACCCTTGCCTCCAAGAACTCCTCTCCCACTCCCAGCTCTGATGGCTCCCCCCCCTCACCCCCCCCCACTGTATCTACACGTCCTGGCTCCTAAGGATACTTACCTTTCCAATTTCATCCTTCAGCGTGTACTGGTTCAGCTGAACACAATCCTGGAAAGTAAACAAACACACAGAACATGAACGGTACGTTTGCAGATAGATAAATCTGTCACAAACATCAAGAAAGAGGGCCCTGCCCAGCCGGTGTTGCTCAGTGAACTGAACATCGAACCGAGCACCAAGAGGTCGCTGGTTCGATTCCAAGTCAGGGCAGATGCCCGGGTTGTGGGCTCCATCCTCAGTAGGGCAGGAGGCAGCCAATCGATGTTTCTCTCTCATGGGTATTTCTATCTCTCTCTCCCTCTCCCTTTCTCTCTCTCTCAAATCAATAAAAAAGGTATTTTTTTTTTTAATTTTAAAGAAAAGAAAGAGGGCATTCCCAGCCCCACAGAAGCATCCCCAGCCACTGGCCCCTCTGTAGGGTGGCCAGTGTCCTGACTTCTACCTGCAGCTTTTGTACATTGCAAATACATAATCAAACAGTTTGGAATCTCTTTATAGTCATTTTTAAAAGATTATACCCACTTATAGCCAAAACCGGTTTGTCTCATTGGATAGAGCGTTGGCCTGCGGACTCAAGGGTCCTGGGTTCGATTCCGGTCAAGGGCATGTACCTTGGTTGCGGGCATATCCCCAGTAGGGAGTGTGCAGGAGGCAGCTGGTCGATGTTTCTCATCGACGTTTCTGACTTTCTATCCCTCTCCCTTCCTCTCTATAAAAAATCAATAAAAATATATTTTTAAAAAATAAAAAATAAGGTATCGATAAATATGTAAAGTACTGTAAATGTATTTTAAAAAATAAAAAGATTGTACCCACTTATAAAGAGTTCACTTTAAGTAAAACAAGTAATCCATGACCATGTTATCCTATAGAAATGTAAAATGATAAGAAGTGCCCTTGGGACAAGGTTTCTTAGATAAGATATAAAAAGTACAGAACATAAAAGGAAACAAATCATAAACTGGACTTCGTCAAAATTAAAACTTTTGCTCTTCGAGATCCTGTGAAAGAAAATGGGCAGCAAGCCACACACTAAAAGAAACTATTTGCAACACATATATCAGACAAAGGACTGGTATCCAGAATATATAAAGAACTATCACAACTCATTAATAAGAAGACAACCCAATGTATTTTTTTAAACAGGTGAAAGAGCCCTAGCCAGTCTGGCTCAGTGGATAGAGCACTGATCTGTGGACTGAAGTGTCCTGAGTTTAATTCCAGACAAGGGCACAGGCCCGGGTTGCAGGCTCGATCCCCAATAGATAGCCAATCAATGATTCTCTTTCATCACTGATGTTTCTATATCTCTCTCCCTCTCCCTTCCTCTCTGAAATCAATAAAATACATATTTTAAAAAATAGAAATGGGCAAAAGATTTGGAAAAAATTTCTCCAAAGAAGATACAAATGACTAGAAGCATTAATCAATGGAGAAATAGAAATTTAAACCACACCCAATAGATTAGTTAAAATCAAGAAGGCTGACACAAGAATTTAGGGCATATATAACCTGCATACACTGCTGGTGGGAATTTAAAATGGTGCAGCCTTTTTATTTTTTTAATCCACACCGAGGACATTTTTCCATTGATTTTTAGAGAGAGGTGGGGGAGAAAGAGAGAGACATCAATGTGAGAGAGACACATTGATTGACTGTCTCCTGCACGTGCCCCGGGGATTGAGCCTGAAACTGAGGTACCAGAATCGAAATTGGGACCCTTCAGTCCAAGGCCTGACACTCTATGCACTAGGCCAGTGGTCGGCAAACTCATTAGTCAACAGAGCCAAGTATCAACACTGCAACAACTGAAATTTCTTTTGAGAGCCAAATTTTTTAAACTTAAAACTTCTTCTAATGCCACTTCTTCAAAATAGATTCGCCCAGGCTCTGGTATTTTGTGGAAGAGCCACACTCAAGGGGCCAAAGAGCCGCATGTGGCTTGAGAGCCGCAGTTTGCCAACCACGGCACTAGGTCAAACCAGCTATGGCGGTGCGGCCTCTTTAGAAAACAGTTTGGTTGCTCAGAGGTTAAGCATTGACCTACAAACCAAGGGGTCACCAGTTCGATTCCCAGTCAGGGCACGTGCCAGGGTTGTGTGCTCGATCCCCAGTGGGGGCGTGCAGGAGGCAGCCGATCAATGATGTTTCTGTCTCTCTCCTCTCTCCCTTTCCCTTCCTCTCTGAAATCAATAAAATATATATTAAAAAAAAAGAAAACAGTTTGGCACTATCTTAACAACATACATTTACCATATGATCCAGCCACTCTTACTCCTAGGCATTTACCCCAAAGAAATTATAACACATATCCAGGCAAAGACTTGTGTACAGATATCAACAACAGCTTTATTTGGAAAAGCTGAAAGCTGGAAACAACCCAAATAAATGTCCATCTACGGGTAAATGGATAAATAAGCTGGGGCATATCTGAACAGTGGAATTCCATTTAGCAATAAAAAGGAAGGGGGAAAAAAAAAAAAGAAGGAACTACTGGTGTCTACAACAGCGTGGACAAACCTCAGCATCATTATACTGTGAAAGCAGCTAAGCTAAAAAAGACTACATGCTTAAACGATGCCACTTACATAAAATCCTGGAACTTGCAAATTAATTTATGCTGATAAAAACCAGGTCAGTGTGCCCTACCCGTTTGGCTCAGTTTGGCTCAGTAGATAGAGCGTCGGCCTATGTACTGAAGGGTCCTTGGTTCGATTCCGGTCAAGGGCACATACCCAAGTTGCTTGCCGGCTCGATCCTCAATGGGGAGGCAGCCAATCAATGACTCTCTCTCATCACTGATGTTTCTATCTCTCTCCCCCGCTCCCTTTCTCTTTGAAATTAATAAAAAACACATTTTTTTAAAAAACAACACAAAAACACCAGGTCAGTGGTTTTGTAGGAAAGGGAAGTGGGAGGAGGGATACATTGCTAGGTGAGCTGGAAAAGCCGGTGATCTTGATTGGGGTGATGGCCCTCGAACTGTAGCCATTCCAGATTTCCAGGCTTCTCCCAATTATATTCATTCATTCATTCATTCATTCATTCATTTTCAAGCTCCTGCTATGGGCCAGGCATTGTGTGAAGTGAGCGCTGGGGACACAATGGGGAACAAGCCTGACCCTACAAAGCTTACATTCTAGATGGGGGGGGGGGGGGGGAGACACACACACACACACACACACACACGCACACACACACACACCAATAAGCAACTAACCAAACGCAAGACATAATGGTGATGAGTCAACAGGAAACAGACAGGCTGCTCAGAGAGGGCAGTCCCAGAGCCCTTTCTGAGGGGACAGTTGAGTAGAGATTGGGATGTCAGATGGAGGTGATCTTGCAAAGTCAGGAGAAGTTCTAAGCAGAGGGGACGGGCAAAGGTATGGGCCTAAGGAGGGGAATGAGCTTCTGAAGAGCGTAAGGAAGTGAGTATGGATGGAGGCCTGTGAGTGGCCAGCAGAAAGGCGGGAGGCGGGGCAGGAGAAGAGATGAGGCAGATCACCATGAACCTGGTGGGGACCTGAGTCCTGATCTACCTTCCAGACAAGGATCGAATGAGAAACGCACACACAGAGCTGAGCGCAGTGCCTGGCGCAGGCAAACCGCCCAGCCAAGGGAGCCAGGCTGTAGACCATGAGGCCTCTCAGGGACCTGCCACCCCCAGGTCAGTGCCCCCCTCCCCCCCCAAGTTCCAACCACCAGCACATGCATCTCTCTGCGAGAGGCTCTCTCCAGCCCCCAGATGCTCTGCTCCCACTCAGGGCAGGTCACCCACCCGGTGGCCTCGTGCTCCTGCCCTCAGGTGGGCTAACTCAGACTTCGTTCTCCCTGTCTCCATGGGTAACCAGCTCCTTAACTGCAACCAGCTCCTTCACTGCATTCTTCGCTGACTTCCTTTCCTCTCCCTTCCTTCCCCACCTGGGTTTTCTTTTTTTAAACATTTCTTTATTGATTTCAGAGAGGAAGGGAGAGGGACGGAGAGATAGAAACATCAATGATGAGAGAGAATCCTTGATCGGCTGCCTTCCGCACGCCCCCTACTGGGGATCGAGCCCACAACCTGGGCATGTGCCCTTGGCCGGAATCAAACCTGGGGCTCTTCAGTCCACAGACTGACACTATCCATTGAGCCAAACCAGCTAGGGCCCCACCTGGGTTTTCCGGGGTCACTTCCCCAGTTGGCTGGTTGCACAAGTAATGTTCTGGGGGAGCCGATCAGGCGCGGAGACAGACCCCTGGCCCAGCGGCCGCTCACGCACCTGCAAACCCGTGATGGAGACGTGGCGGGACTCCACAGTGGGCCGCCGGGGCAGCCGGGGCGAGGACTGCGGGGAGCCCACGGGGGAGGAGGGCTGGGCCGGGTGGACGCAGCGGCCGTTTGCATCCAGCTGGGACCGCTCCTGCAGAGACAGCTTGCGACTGGAGAGGCGGGGTCGGGCCTGGGCCCCGGCATCGAGGCCCTCAGCCTCCAGGAGCAGGTCTTGGGCCGTGCCAGGGTCCTCGGCGCAGTCCGGCTCGCACTCGGTGACCACGATGAAGGACTCCATGCCCAGGCGGATGCTCAGGGACGAGAGGCCCCGCAGGGCCTCGCAAGGCTTCTGGCCTTCGCTGTTGCTGCTGCTGCTGCTCCCGCCCCCCAGCTCATCCTGGGGGGCGGCCTGGTCACTGCTGGGCTGGCTAGAGACACATGATGACATGGTGCGTGCGCGGACCTCATCTGACGAGCACACCCCAGGGCAGTCCCATGAGCAGTGGTGCCACCTGCAGAGAGAGGAAAGGTCAGTGCCCACCCCGCTGCTGGCCCAGGCTGGTTGAGGATCCTGGTTGCAAAACCTGATCTCTGAGTCTACACAGAAATGAATACTCCACACTTCCTTGTTTTAAAAGCCCCTCCTCACACATAAAGCAAGAGTTCCAAACTCACCGTGGCCGGGTGGCTCAGTTAGTTGGAGCGTCCACCCACACACCAAAAGGTCGTGAGTTTGACTCTTGGTCAGGGCACATACCGAGGTTGCGGGTACAATCCCCGGTCTGGGCATGTACAGGAAGACAACCGATCACTGTTCCTCTCTCTCTAAAAAAGCAATAAAAATATATCCTGGGGTGATCATTAAAAAGAAAAAGAAAATAGCCAAAACCGGTTTGGCTCAGTGGATAGAGCGTCGGCTTGGGGACTGAAAGGTCCCGGGTTCAATTCCGATCAAGGGCATGTACCTTGGTTGCGGGCATATCCCCAGTGGGGGGTGTGCAAGAGGCAGCTGATTGATGGCTCTCATCGATGTTTCTAACTCTCTATCTCTCTCCCTTCCTCTCTGTACAAAATCAATAAAAATATATTTAAAAAAAAAAAAAAAGAAAAAAGAAAAAGAAAATAGAATTCCAAACTCAATTTCAGAAGGAACCAAATATATGAGAAAACCCCAAAACAGAGCACGCAGGTCCCCTACAGAGCGGGCAGCTATTTCCAGCTCAAGCCAGCTATTGCTAAGAAGGAATCTAGTACTGCCTGGTTTTCCCCCTTTTTCCCTTCAAAAAAAAAAGCCCTAAACCCAGCATATTAGATGAGATCTCATGATTTTTTTTTTTCTTAATTAGCAATGATTTCAAACATTTTCGAATACTGGGTAGGCCACATGGAACACCTCCAGGCTGCATCGCTCACCATGGGGATGATTCAAACAGCACTTCACAGCTTGCAAAACATCTGCACACCAGCCTCATCTCACAGGCACACCAGGCTGCTGGTTTGCTGTCACAACCCCAGCTGGTGCAAGGCGAAGCTGAGGCTGGAGAGCAGGAAAGGGATTTTGTCCAAGGTCCCCTAAGGCAGAGCCCCCGTACGTAGCAGCTGGGTCTCCTGGCCCATGATCCTCAACCGGGAAGTGGGGGTCAGGGGTCACAGGAGACAAAGCATGGGTGCCCAGACGGTGGGAGCCAGAGCGGTTTGTGTTACCTAAGGAACCAGGCCCCAGCTGGTGCCCGCCAGACGTAAGGCAAACATGAGGCCAAGAACCTTGATATCAAAATAGCTTGGTGGTTCCTCAAAAAATCAAACAGAGCCAAAACCGGTTTGGCTCTGTGGATAGAGCGTCCGTCTGTGGACTGAAGATCCCGGGTTCGATTCCGGTCAAGGGCATGTACATTGATTGCGGGCACAACCCCAATAGGGGGTGTGCAAGAGGCAGCTGATCGATGTTTCTCTCTCATCGATGTTTCTAACTCTCTCCCTCTCCCTTCCTCTCTGTAAAAAAACAATTAAAAAAATTTTTTTAATCAAATAGAGAATTACCACGTGACCTAGCAATCCTGTTCCAAGGTGTACAACCTCCATGTCCATCAAACAGATGAACGGATAAGCACAACAGGACCCAGCCACACAACACAATAAGACTCGGGCCTAAAAAGGAACCAAACCCTGGCATGTGCTACAACCCAGATGCACTTCCAAGTCATCGGCGAAGTGAAGGAAGCCAGACCCAAAGCTCACATCTGTATGGTTCTATTTATACAAAACTCCTAGAATAGGCAAATCCACAGAGACAGAGAGTATTAGCGGCTGCCCGGGACGGGGGAGGTGTTGGTCGGGACGGGAGGGACCGCTCACCGGACAGGGCTTCCTTTTGGGGTGGTGAAAATGTTCTGGAACTAGACAGATTGTGCATGTACTAAATGCCACCGCCTTGTATATTTTTAAATGGTTAATTAAAAAAAAAAAAAAAAAAAAAGACTGATATGCTCCCTTTACGACTGTCAATTCCTTCCATCTCTGGGAAGGAAGATTATTAAATGTTGGTTCCTGTGCTCAACCAGTTCTGCTGGACAATTGTCAAACTCGGGGAGTACCTCCCCAGATGTGGACGGTGGCAGCCTCGTGCTGATCACCACACCACAAAGGTGCCGGAGTGGAGAGACGTTATGAATAAATTATCTCTCGAAGGGATAAAGAGGAGGGAACAGATGGAAGCAGAAAGCCAGCGCTCCCTGGAGGAAGTGGAAGAGGGGCAGGGAAATGTCACTTGCCCTTCTGGGACCGTCCTAAAAGAAGCATTTCAGGAACGGCTCCTACGCCAGCCCATTTAGACAGTGATGTCGGCAGATGGGCCCCCTGCTCTCGGGCAGTGAGGAGAGGCCAACGGATCGGCAGTGAGGAAATACCCGCGCGTCCCAGCCTGGACACGGGCACGATTCATGAACACAGAGCTCACAGTAAAAGAACAACAAACACCCAGTCATGTGACAAGATGTTTGGCCGCTGTTAGGAGGATTACAAACTCAAACTTCCATGAATGGCTTGGTGGGTCCTCCAGACGTTAAATATAGAATTACCTCGTGACCCAGCAAGTCTTCCCCTAAGTCTGATCCCAAAAGAATTGAAAGCAGGGATTCAAACAGATACACAGACACTCGTGTTCACAGCAGCACTGTTCTCAATGGCCAAAAGATGGAAACAGCCCAAGTGTCCGCCCAACGGATGATGGATAAGCAGAAATGTGGGTCTGACCATACAACGCACTATTACCCAGTCATAAAGAAGGAATGAAGTTCTGACATGCGTAAGTGAAACAAGCCAGATACTAAAAGACAAACACTGTATGATTTCACTTATGTGAGATACCGAGAGCAGGCAGATTCAGAGACAGAAAGCAGAAGAGAGGTTAGCAGAGGCTGGTGGGGAACAGGGAATCATTGCTTATGGGGTACAGAATTTCTGTGTGAGGTGATATCAAAATTCTAGAAGTAGTGATGATGGTTGCACAACATTGTGCATTTAGCTTAAACCACTGAATCATACATGTGAAAAGTGATTAAAATTGTAAGTTTTCTGTTATGCATATTTTACCAAAATCAAGAAAATAAACCCTAGCCAGTTTTTCTCAGTGGTTAGAGCGCCAGCCTGCAGACTTGAAGGGTCACAGGTTCAATTCCAGTCAAGGGAATGTACCTCGGTGTCGGCTTGATCCCCGGCCCCGGTCAGGAGGCAACCAATCCATGCATCTCTCTCAAATCTATGTTTCTCTTTCTGTCTCTCCCCCTACCTTCTACTGTCTAAAAAACAATGAGGGAAAATATCCTCAGTGGAAATTTAAAAAGGAAATAATAGTAAAACTGCCATAAAAAACACTTTTTCCAACTATGGGATAGACCACGACAAAAATAATAATAATAACAACACTATTTCGGTGAGGCTACAGGGAGTATGAATTGGCACCATCCTTACAAAGAGAAATTCACCAATATTTAGCAAAACTCCAAATGCAGATCTTTGACTTAGCAACTCCGCACCCGAGTATTTAACTATAGGCAATCTCATGCACATAAAAAAAATGAGATGATTTTGGTAGTGTGGTTTGAAAGGGCCATGCACAGGGGACTGAGTAAATAAAAGGAAAATGAGGTGCACGTACCCCAGGAGAAAACATATATATATATATTTTTTAATTGATTTTTTACAGAGAGGTAGGGAGAGGAATAGAGAGCCAGAGACATCGATGGGAGAGAAACATCGACCAGCTGCCTCCTGCACCACCCCCCCCACTGGGGATGTGCCCGCAACCAATGTGCAAGCCCTTGACCGGGATCGAACCTGGGACCTTTCAGTCCGCAGGCTGACGCTCTATCCACTGAGCCAAACCAGTTAGGGCTCCATGCTTTTCTTTTAAAAGAGGTGCCTCTACACATCCTAATATGAACGAGCTCCAAGACACACCACCTATTACAGAGGAAAACCAACACATTCGTACGCTGCTGCTGGCGTGAGGGAAGGCCATACGTGGTTCATGATTGCATGTGCACAGCGTTTTTGTGGAAAGGGATACAAGAAAATGGTTAACCGTGGCCTCCACTGGTCTGCAGAAGTAGGGAAACTAGGTGGGAGGGCTTACTTTTCACTGTATGCACCTTTAAAAGTAAAAATTGGGAAGAAGGTAACTGTAGCCATGATAGGACTTCGGATGATAAGGCTATCAGAGGGGTGAGGGAGGGGGAGAGTGTATCAGCATATGTGAGAAAGAAGCCTTAACGGGGGTCCTGTCTTGGCTTCTCCATCAGTTGGAGAATAAAACCCCAAGTTCAATGTTCTCTGTGACCCCACTGCTATTACATTACATATCCCTTCCACGGTCCTTGTCTCCCAGGAGGGGAAAAGCAGGGCCCCTGAGGTTCGACTGCTTGAACTCGCCATGGACGAGTGACTTAGTCTCTCTCGGCCTCAGTGTTCTTATCTATAAAATGGGCACGCACCCAATAGTCATGAGGACTGTTAAGTGAACCTTCACTCAGTAGCCTGCCTGGTACACGGTCAAGTGATCAAAAGCTGTTATTTCCACAAATGCCTATTCAATGCTCACTACCTGCCAGGCTGTATTCCAGAATGTTCCTATGAGGTATTGATGTCCAAGAGACCATCCTGCTCTTTAAAAAAAAAAAAATATATTAAAAAAAAATATATATATATTTATATTTTTATTTATTTTTTTTAATATATTTTATTGATTTTGTACAGATAGGAAGGGAGAGAGATAGAGAGTTAGAAACATCGATGAGAGAGAGTCATCGATCAGCTGCCTCTTGCACACCCCCCACTGGGGATATGCCCGCAACCAAGGTACATGCCCTTGACCGGTATCGAACCCAGGACCCTTCAGTCCCCAAGCCGACGCTCTATCCATTGAGCCAAACCGGTTTCAGCTATATTTAT